GAAAAACACAAGAAAATCGAGCATCAGGATCCATAGCAGTGTGATTTCAACTTGAGTATGTGCAAAACAGTCCATGCATCTCTGTTTACCTTCAGCACTTTGCTTTTTACTTTTCTTCTTCTTCTTCTTCTTCTGGTTGAGCACCGTGGCAGCGTCCGCAGTCTGCTGCAGCTTTCCCATGAAGTTCTCAATGTCATCGAAGCAGTGATTGAGGATCCCCTGAGGAATGAAATAAGCAGTTTATAACTCTGTCCAGATGTGAATGACAGCAAAAGGTGACATTAAAGACCTGAATGTGACGTACCACTTCTCTCTCTGCTCGCAGGAAGGAAATGTCTTGTCCGCCATTTATGCCGTTCGCTGTTTGAGAAGAGAAGATAGGATTCAGTTCATCCATTTCCACTCATAGCTTTGGTTTCTCCTGCATTAGGAATCCCTGCCCCCTTTACCCTTGAAACCCACCTCCCCCTTACACACACACAAACACACAAAGCAATCTCTGTGCTCCTAAATACCTCTCGCTTCTCTCTTTCCCTTCTCATCTTATCAAATCCCTCCAAATACTTGTACTTCTGCAATCAAACACAAGCATTCATGTGAACATTTTTAGTTTTGCTTACCTCTGGGTCCAGGGTAAGGTGGAGGGTTGGCTGGAGGGGCGTTTGGAGCATGTGGGATGGGGTGGCTTGGGATTTCATACGGGTCGATCATACCCCCCCCACTCTGAGGAAGCCTAGAGGACGAGAGGAGAGCTTTAACAACAGTTCAGGTGATGTTGACAGCCGTCGTTTTGATGGGCGCTTTTTACTCCACACGACAAAAGGGAAACACCCATAAAGTAGTCACACACATTTTGGATCACAGACAAGGCTCATCCTGACTTTGAATGCAGACTAAAGCTACAACAGGATGACATATTTGTATAGTGAGCCAGATTACACTCTCCTCTATCAACAGATAAAACGAGATGCGTGTGAAATTCAACCCCGCAGCCCTTATTCCACTCTGAACGTACTGTAAACACTCTGACTGAGCTTTCTCATGACTTCACTGTGCTTCTATCTAAACTCTCACACAAGCAATAAACCAATTTAAATGGAAAGGTGGACACACTTTTTGCACGTTTGCCTACTATACAAACACCTGTAAGAGTGTTGAATCAAACTTTACAAACACCTGTAAGAGTGTTGAATCAAACTTTACAAACACCTGCAAGAGTGTTGAATCAAACTTACTTAAGAATCAGCATCTAAAACAGCCACTAATTGGTCTTACCACATTGTGATGTCCTTTAAACGTCCTTAAATACAAATAGTGGTTTAAAAATCAGGTAATCCGTTCAGGTTAGAGCCACAGACTGCACAGCGCTGCCGCCATCCTCCCTCCTCTGCTCTCTGTGCTTTCTGTCACATTGGACTTGTTTTCTTTGTCACACCTTCCTAAGTTATGCCAAAACCGGTAAAGCAGGTCTTTCTCTCGCTCAGCTGTTTACCCCGTCCTCTCTCTCCCACTCATTCACAGACAGGTGGATGCTTTGAATCAGTGGAAAATGTTACATAAAACAGGAGAACCGCAAACAGTTTAATGGGGAGATTGGTCTGAGTGGTCATGTATTGTCAGTGTCTGTCTTTTGAACCTCCTGCTATACAATATGAATGCAAACAAACACTCATAGACACACTTTCTTTCATTAAAAACACGATGAGACATGGAAATCATACACTTTTAAGCTTGTATTTGAACAAGAACTGATATAAAATGAATGGTTTCTAGTTTTAAAGTCTTCATTTTTACGTTTTCTTTACAGATTAGTTTTGTGACCATGACATTCACTGTACCTGAGGGCATCAGGTTTCTTACTCCTGCCGGTGGAAGGAGTAGAAACTGCGCGTGCGATGTCGTCACAGATTTGCTGTGCCTGTGAGAGAGAGAATTAGGAAGTGGCGTCACTCGTGAAACCTGAACTGTACAGACAAATACAAAAGTGACGCACAGATTGGAGGAAGCTCAGGCGTCATTACTCACCTTCACATTCTCGCAGTTGAAGAAGAGGATGTCGGGCTTCTTCTGATCTGCACTCTGGCAGACCAGCTGGAGGAGGGACGGGAAGTGTTTCTCTGTGTGTATGGCGTCGCAGCGGAAGATGGATGCGAAAGGGTAGTTCTCCAGCTCATCCTGCACAAAAACATAAAGCCAAAGATCAGTATGCATGCAAGCTATTCACACCATCCTTCTTGACCATCATGCATCTGTTCCCACCTGGTTCTGTATGTCTCGGAGTTGAACGGCCTTAACTCCAACATCCAGGAACATCTGTTGACTCCACAGCTTTTTGCTCTGAGCCAGGAAGGAGAGCCGGGCCTGGGCCTCCTCCACATTGATCACCTCACCATCCTTGAGAGAGAATGTCAGCAGGTGCTGCAACCAGGAAGATAAAGGAGGGTGAGGAAACTTGAAGAGGAAGGCATCTCGATTAATGTTATTATGAGACAATTAGACTTACGTTGACAAGATATCGTGAGATGTTTGTCATCCTTTGCCTTGTTTGAGAAAGCTATACGAGCTTTCTACGAATGGGGAAAGAGACAAGGGATTAGATAACATGTTAGGTTGAGATACAATGACCTTTGCTCCACTGACATAACATATAATGCAATGGTCAATTTTGAGAATGTTGGCTATGTTTCTTCCATAACATTTAGATTAAGACACCCCATTTTAATAACTGTGTCTATTTGTGTCTGTAGATTTCTCCTCAAATCACCAAAGGTTAGCATCAGATAATGCTTAATCTTCTTAACTGAACATAACATTTTAGAAAACATCTATTGCAAAAATAATATAGTTTTAAGGTATGTGATCCACTGGGAAAGTGTAATGGTGATATTCCACTGCAAACACCAGTAGTGTTCCACAAAATGTATTGAAACGTATCTTTAAATGCCATTTTCTCAATGTTTTTTTCTGTAGCACTTCAATAACCAAAACCTTCCCCGCCATTCCTATCTACATTCTGAGGCTTTTGACAGAGGAGGTTGTTCATAAATCATTCACAGCCTGATTTAAAGAACATTTCATTCCTGGATCCAAAGTCATGTCTTTAACTATTTTCTTATTTATGGAGTCATTAAAAAGACACCCAAAGATTCCCTCCGAAAGAAATCCATTCACTCTAATGTGTTAACAAAATGAGACAAGAATGAACTTGAGCCTGGCTTCATCCAAGGTTCAGTATCTGTTCCAGCACATATTTCATAAGAAAAATGCCTCATTGGCATGTTTAAACAAAAGAAAAACTTGTAATAAAAAAAAAAAGTTGTTTTACTGTAAGTAACCACCTCGGGAAGTTTCATGGTTATATCTAACTGTTAAAATATTTACCCTGTTACGCTGTAGTTTCTCCTAAAGCTGTTTAATCTCAGCCATTTGTCTCTAAACTAACACGTCTTAACTTCAAACGCAACATCCTCTTACAATATGTGCCTTCCTCTGTTTGAGTCAGCCTCACATCAGAAACGTTGGATTATGACTTGCCCAACCAGTCTGACAACAGTACAATAACAGTACAATAATCCTCGCTACTCAATCTCTCTGCTCCTCAGCGGCCATTAATAGCCGACTGGAACCATTGGTATCAAGAGAGCAGACGTCCAGTATCACTTAAGACCGGTTTCATTGAAAAAATAAATACTCTACCAAAGATATTTTCCATTTCATCTGTGCATACAGCCAAAACCAAAGTGGTGTGGTTTGGGTTTTATATAACAAGCCTTTAGTGGGATTTCAAAATAAAGTCTAACCACAATTATAATCTGTCTACATTTGTCCTAAGTGAAAACACATTTTAAGACTTTGGCTGAGTTAATTCCACTGTAAATAAAAGAAATCAACCCAAACACAAAAAAACACAATATCAGCCACACATAGTATTGTTATAATCTCCTGTATGTACACCCCATAGAACATATTAAACACATTCTGGGTGGAAACACATCAGGTTTCGCTCGTCATTTTCCAAAACAGTGCAACATTTGTTGTAAAAGGGACATGTCCCGTTATTGATTTCACTAACTCTACCAAAGTTGATTAATATTCTAATAATTGAACCAAACAAATATCAAATTAGCATTAATTCAAGTATCTTGAACAGTTACTACTCATAATTCATAACTAGAGGCACCAGTTTCATAATGCCTTTCATTGCAGTTTCTAATGTATTGTTACTGTACACCATTATCAAAGTAGTCTTACATTTTAAGAGTTCCTAATACTTACAGATAGTGAAAATGGATGTTTGATGAACTTACCAAGGTTGATACTCTTCCAGTCGTTGTCCCTGATGTTAGCAGCCTGTAAGTGTGTTTATACTGAGAGTAAAACCTGTCCTGAGTCTCAGTGTAACTCACGCTCCTCTCTTTGGTATTGAAAGCTTTTACAGAGCAGAGGTGTGTCAGCGTCCCGCCCAGTGTACCACCCCACCTTAGAGATAAAAATATTGACTCACTCTCCTGTACACCTACATTAAAAAGTGAGCATATCTCAATCTTTTTGTGATAATTGTGCAAGTACTTAGGTTGAAATGGCAAAACTGAGGTCATTTCCTCTGGATTTTTTGTCTTGAAATGTGGGATTTTTTGTAAATTTGGTTCATTTATACCACTTTTAAGAACAAAAAATGAACCAACATTCATTATTTACTCACCAGAATATGATTCCAGCAGTGAAAATAAAGTTGTAAAGCACATTTAAACCTTAATATGAAGAAAAAAACGTCCTTACTTCAGATAAAAAGTCATTGTAAAGTTGCCTTTTGTTTGCACACATATGTCAGCAAGTTACTGCTAGTAGCAACTTTAAAATCACCTTAGAAATAAACTAAACCACTTTAAACACATGCCTTAGTGTGGGGATGTGGTGGGGGCAAGAGGTATACATATTGGTAATGTGGGGTGTCATATTTCATAACAGGACAAGTGTCCATGGTATCCGCCAATGGAGGAGGAAAGGCGGAGTCAGGTGGAAGCCAACGAGGTTACCACTTGACTTTGGGACATTGGAAAACTTTTCAAGGATCTCTATTATTTAAAACCACTCGGTATGTACCACCTTTTCATAAATACATGTCGTTTTTCCAAAGCGCAGAGATGATATTGTACTAAAACAAGTTGGTAGTGGTATTAGAGAGTGTGTTTAATGTGCATCCCGAACAAGTATAGTCTACGTGGCATGCAGCGTGTGTTTGTGTGTGTGTGTGCAGTGTGTGTGTGTGTGTGTGTGTGTGTGTGTGTGCAGTGTGTGTGGGTGTGTGTGTGTGTGTGTGTGTGTGTGTGTGTGTGTGTGTGTGTGTGTGTCAGGTCAGGTCAGTGTGACTGTGATGAATACTTTGTTATAGAAACCTTTGATGGAAAATAAGTACTGAATTGCAAAAACGTGTAATAAAAGCTATTACTTCCACGTTCCACCTTTGGAGGAAGCAAACGTATTCCAGTTTAGCAGAACTCCCCTCTCAACCACAGGAGCTATTGCATCAGCCTGGATGTACTTTTATTTTTAATGAATGGATATATCTGACAGTAAGCTGAATCAAAATAATCATTTGCCACGTGTTATGTTTGACAACTGATAAAACGTGGATCAAAGGAGATCAAATGATTCGACTTTATACTGAAAACCTTACTATTTAAATTGATGTCATGTCAATTAAAGACTTTAGGAAACCATATAAGAAGTGTGGGGTCCCATTTCTGCTATTAAACTGCATGTTAAACACGTTTAACCCTGAACGGGATGCTTACAGTCACATGTGTTAGAAAATAACTCTAAAGGATCAGTGTTTGGGCTGGGCTGATGCTGCGTTCAGGGACCCTCTTGTAACTGTGAGAATCACTGAAATTTAACTGAAAATAACCGAAACATAACCAAGTACTTAGGAAAGCTAATATCTACATAAGTTACTTGAACTTAACTTAGGTTTTTTTTCTACTGGGACTTAATATTATATTGAAGCGATATTGATTCATTCTTTATCATCTTGGTAGAAAATGTTTCAACAAATTTGACAATTGATGAATATCTCAAGTAATGGTAAAGTAGTCCAGTTTATTAAATATGAGCATTTGAGTTATTATTTAAAATCTTGTGAATTGAGAATTTGGATGGTTAATTGAACAAACAAGCAATTAAACATTGGGCTATAAAAACTGATAGCAATTCAACACATTAATAGATAATGGAGAAATAAAACTATATATCGCAACATATTTGGTTTGTTTGATTATTTCTTGAGCGAATTGCACATGTCACACATCTTTGGACAAATACAGACAAAACAATCAAACATGCCAATTGCCAGGGGTTCAACCGCACAATGTCAGCGGTAAAAAAAACACATTATTGAATACAATACCAGCAAAAATTATAATAAATATATATAAATATTTAAAATGCAACAATGTATGTCTTAGCTACTTTATTATTAGATTTATGATTTAATAAAAAAAGCCTGGGAATTTTCGTCCTTCATATCAAATGAATGCCCCAGGTTACTTTTGTCCGCGCTAACTACGGTTTATATACTTCCTGCAGTCCGTGAACGCAGCCTGTAGTAATATTGCGTCATGCGCAGAACAACCCCACGCCACGGTTTTAACCACAACCGTGAAAAGAAGCTGAGAACCCCCGGGCGCGGTAAGAGAGTTTGCACATTTAGCGCTCAAACGTGTTTTTATTTATCTTTCGTCTCAGTCAAACATAGAATACAAATGTCTGATATGTTGCATTTAATTTGACAAATGGAAACAAAGGATAATTAACTCGCAGCGAACACAGTGACAGATCAGACCGTCAGCCACATGGGCTCATTTCCTCCTTTAATACAACAGAAGAATAACATTGTCTCGTTTATAATCTCAGTTTTCTGGCAACTCGGGTTTTTATTCCACCTCCTCTTTGACGACATTTGCTGGTGACAGGCAGCTCAGTGTCAGAAGTGTGTGTGCGGTTTACATTTTTCTTTTTTGTAGGTTTTATTGTATAATTTCAAAGACTGCCAATTTTAATGTATGCATGCACATGTTCTTGTATCAGGATTCCTCCATAACATAGATATACTTTCAATATGATCATGTTTACCCTGTTCTAAATGTTTTCCCTAAAAGGGTCTCACTTGTTTTTGTTTTGACTTGTGTGTGTGTTCTCTGTGTGAGTCCTGACAAAGACACATGGTCGGGGATGTAGCGTTACTTTACCGAATGAACCTTGCATTAAGGTCCTATTGATATATATATATGTATTGATATATATATATATGTATTGATATATATATATATATATATATATATATATATATATGGTGGACAAAATATCAGTGGTGAAATGTAACTAAGTACATTTACTGGAAAACCATACACAGAGGTGGGAAGTAACTAAGTAGATTTACTCAAGTACAGTACTCTACTACTTCAAAACAAAGTGTTTTACAAAATATACAAAACTGACTTCAAACTACAACATTTAAATGAATTCACAAGTATTTATTAATAAAAAGTATGATAATACAATGCATTTTTATGTTCCAATATTTATTATATATTATTGCACTTGTTTTTACTTTTACATTTCTCCTACTGTGTTCATGTATGCGCCATTTTACCCCAAATTCCTTGTATTGGAGAAATACAGTTGGCAATAGACCAAATATTGAATCTGGTTAATGGTATCATTGCTTGCTGGAGTCAGAAAAGTACTATTTGTGGTACACCACAAGTAAAGGCCACAGATGTCTGGATTATCCCCCAAAAACTCCTTAGCTGCAGAAAAATCCCCATAAATCTAAGGTTGACTATCGAGGAGGATCAGCCACAGTCTCAGCGCAGTGGTTCACATTTTGACCAGTTCTTTTTTCTTCCGTCCCCTCTCAGATGGAGAAGCAGCCCCTGCCCACAGACGATGACCACACAGGAGCCCCAGACTCGGGGTTAGCTGGAGACGAGATGCAGGAGGTCCCGTCTGAGCCTGCAGCGCGAGCAGGGTGGAACAGCAAGGTCGAGTACTTTCTGGCTCAAGTGGGGTTCAGCGTTGGGCTCGGCAACGTCTGGAGGTTTCCATATCTGTGCCATCAAAATGGAGGAGGTGAGTCTTTATTATGTCCTCCGTTTCAAATGACGCAACAGGATTGTTTCCTGTGGGCCCCATGAGACCAAACACAAGTGTTGTGAGTCGTGGATTTAAAGGGTCTGTCAGGGTCACATTCCCAGGGTGATCATGTGATTAAAGAGAGAGAAAGAGTGTACGGGAGTATTTCATTTAAATGAGGAGGAGCAGTAATCAGAATAGTGTGTAAATCTCACAGTTTAGCATAAAAGTTTGCTTCTCTTTTACATACTTGCTGTTTAACTAAATGTGATGCTTATTCCTTAACCCAGTGCTGCCCCACCCTTGTCCTCAGGGTCTTTCCTCATCCTCTATGTGCTGCTCATGCTCATCATGGGGATCCCCCTGTTCTTCCTGGAGCTGGCGGCCGGGCAGGCCATCCGACAGGGCAGCATCGGGGTGTGGAAGTTCATCTCCCCCCGGCTGGCAGGGATCGGATACTCCAGCTGTGTGGTGAGAAACTGACACTGTTAAATGGGGTGGGACAATATGGCGATATATATATATATATATATACATCAAAGTCAACTTTATTGTCAATCTTTCAGTTTGTGTGTACAGACAGAGAGATCGAAATACCGTTTCCCACAATCCCGAATACAAAAACAAATGTATATAAAATATCCTCTATATATATATATATATATATATATATATATATATATATATTAGGGCCGGGACTCGATTAAAAAAATTAATCTAATTAATTAGAGGCTTTGTAATTAATTAATCGAAATTAATCGCATTTTTAATCGCATATAAATATTTGACCTGAGAACAGTGAGAAGCAATTTTTTTCACATGGATTTTAGTATACCATTAGGCGCATTCACACTGCAGTACTTTTCCCACAAAGGTTCATGAGAACTTAGTTCATGAGAACAAATGAAGCCGCTGACGTCACTTCTTCTTCTTCTGCTTTGGGTTTACTGGCAGGCCGCAAACCACTTCACGGCGTATACTGCCGCCCAAAGTCCCCGGCCGGAAGTCCCCGGAGTTGGGGACTGGCTTCAGTAGAAGCTGCTGGGAGTCCCAGCAGCCTTCTGAGTAAATCGCCAGAACGCCGACACCTCCTCATCTCCACCGCTCCCATGTTTTATTTTGTGTTGCCATAAGTTAGTCTCTCTGCGTTTCTGCGCTGGGCTAATGCTAATAATGCTAATGCGAGGATAATAAAATGGCGGCTTCACCAAACTTTTTGGGAGTTTTACGGGGCGTGGTTTGCAATCCGCCCAGCCAATCAGACATATAGCTCTTTTCTCACAAGAGAGCCGCACGAAAGTCCCTGCTCTCTAGCAGCTCTCTGCTCTCTAGCAGGGACTTTCGTGGGGGTAAAAAGGTTCTCATGAACTAATTTTAGTACCGGCTCTTTTTGGTGTGAACCATAGACTGTATGGTGTGAACGCGATAAAAGAGGCTAACGTCCACGCTAGCTTCCACGCTAGCTGCTATATGTTTTGCATTGAGGTGATACTTGAGGCTTGATGTGCTGCGGTGATATGCGAATTCCTTTTTGCATAATTTGCACACAACCGTGCTCTTATCAACGCTTCCATCCGTCCGTTTTTTAAAACAACATTTCCCACTGTTGTTCACTGTGGTTTGTTGTTGTCTGAAGTCATGAACGTTAGTTGGTGCTCCAGTATAATCGGTACGCCTGAAACTCATCCAGTGAGAAACGTTCCGCGGTGCAAAAATAAGTGCGATTAAAATGCGTTAATTTTTTTAACACGTTAATTTTTGTGTAATTAATTAATCTTAATTAACGCGTTAAAGTCCCGGCCCTAATATATATATATATATACACACACACACAATCAACAGACTGTTTTATATATATGCACACACTAAGACATAAATAAAAGCACAACAATCAATATATACAAAATATATCGTGCAATGGTAAAAATATGTCCCAGAGTAGGGATTTTGCGATACCATTTTTACTGCTCTAGCTGTTCTAGTGCTATCTTTTGATTCTCGCTTCATTTCCCCGATCCAGCGCAGTGCTATATCTAAAGGGCAAGGAAGTTGGTGTATTTATCCAAATAAAAAAGGAGAAGTAGAGTAATCATCAATGTGTGTATTACTGTTTGGCTAAAACCACAACCATTAACATCGTTTTTCTCACCTTGTTTTACATTTGGTTAATGGTATTTGCACAATAGTTACTCCTTTTCAAATATTTGTTTTGTCCTCAGGTGTTTTCCAAATCATCGTATAATCTTCTCATAACCTGATGATGTTGTGCTCACATGTCCTCAGGTGTGTTTCTTCGTGGCTCTCTACTACAATGTGATCCTTGCATGGAGCCTGTTCTACCTCGGGAACTCCTTCCAGTCGTCTCTTCCTTGGGAACACTGTCCAGTAGAGGGGAATGTGACAGGTAAACACACCGCATTACGGTTCAAAACTTATAGCACATGAGGAGTAATTCAATTGTAAATGTATAGGCATGGTGTCACGTGAAAGCTTAATGATTTATCTGTATTTCCCTTGTCTTGACACCAGTACCAGAATGTAAAAAGAGCTCCCCCACATCGTACTTCTGGTACCGTAAAGCTCTGGATATCACCGACTCCATCGATGAGACGGGCTCTTTCAACCCGTACATCGTCGGCTGTCTGCTGGCCGCCTGGACCCTCGTGTGCTTGGGAATGTTCAAGGGCATCAAGACCTCTGTCAAGGTAACCCTGTTGGGACTCCTGACTTCACAATGTTTTGTATTCTCCGTGGGGCTGGAGCTAGATTAGTGAATCTCAGCCCTTGAAGTCGGTGTATGATTGAGTGTGAATTTTTTATTGTATATGTAACAACGCATTGAGGGGTCCATAAAGACTGGAAAAGCGCTATATAAAAGCAGTCCATATATTATTCGAGTAAGAGTCAGATTTCACTCTTGCTTTTGACCTCCAGTCCTCTTCCTCTCCCCCTTTCCTCCTCTTGTCCCATGACTAGTTATTTTCAAATCGTATTAGTTATTATATATTTAAAACAATTTTTTATTTCTATTATATTTGCAGGACAAACTTGAATAGTTGGTGTGATTATTGTTTTAATTGCGTTGATTATTTAAGACAATATTGATTTAGAAACATACATTGCCAATATGGTTAATTGATTACCATAACAGTGTTAACTTTGGAATCAGCTGAGCGTTTCATTAAAAATGTTTTGAAGAGAAGCTCTTTATGAGAAAGACTGACATGATGTCAAAAAGTGTTTCCGGTGCTACATTGGTTTCAGTTTTCTTGCATGTGTGGGGATTTGGTTTTAGGGTTTATGACGAAGGTAACTTCCTTACTTAAGGTAATATTGCACTTTATTAGCGTGATTGCACAGTACAGTTGACATTACATATTTGCACATCATTTATACTAATTATTGAGGTAGTATTTTTTAACTGATTAAACCGTATTTATTGGAATGTTGTCTGGCAGGTGCTGGTCGGGTCCTCGGCTCCGCCTGAAAAGATAGGGGAGTTTGCGAGAGCGCCGAGAGTAGTTATGCTGGTGTAAGGATGACAGCGGTTGAGAGTAATCAGGGTGCAAATAATATGTTGATGTCTGTGGCTGATGACTGTGTGCACCTGGTGTCCTGTGTTGTCTCCTCCCCCCTCACCTGTGTCTTGTTAGTATGTGTGTATTTAGGTGCTGTTTCCTTGTAACTGGGTGTGTGTGAGATCCTTGTGGCTGCAGGATGTGTGCAAGGAGAACAGCAGGATTGAGGCTGTGAACTTTGTGCACATGATTTTAATAAATGCCCACGTCGGGTTATATTTTTGGACGTTCTGCCTCCTTGCTTGGTCTGGGCCGCTCAACGGTCAGTCTCACAGGGTTATTCCGGGTGAAGGAATCCCTGGAATGTCAGGCTTAGAGAAGGTGTTGACGCACTTAGAAATCCTGCCTGGAACATACAAAGTATGTTTAGTAGTTTTAGACTTCAGATTAGATGAAATGGGAGAGATGGGTTGTTTTAGCGGCAAATTAGTAGGATTCAGCTGAAACGTACTTAAAGACGGTTTATATAAGTATAAGAAATGTAGCTAAGCTATTTAAGAAAAGAGTCTATAGGAGAACACCTTACCAACAAGAACAATTGAAGTTTGTGGAGCATATTTACTCAAAACATCTTCAAAATGCTAGTCACTTGAGGAGAGTAGTGCTTTTTTAACCCAGTGCCATTGCGTAAAGGCATAACCAAAAAACGAATGTCCACTGTTGGCTATCTGGATTCATTAATCCTGATAATGTAATCTTTCTTTCTATCTTCTAGGTGATGTATTTCTCCTCCATCTTCCCCTACGTGGTGCTGTTCTGCTTCCTGGTTCGAGGCCTCATGCTGGACGGGGCTTTAGAAGGAATCGGCTTCATGTTCTACCCAAAGGTATCTGCAGACAAAAGGCCTGGTTGATTACGGATAAGAGAGGCTGATATAAATATTTCTCTAACGCACCCTTTGTTCCCCCTCTATATTTCTAGCTGGAGATCTGGGCCGACGTGCAGGTGTGGCGACAGGCAGCCACTCAGGTGTTCTTTGCTTTGGGTCTCGGCTTCGGGTCGATCATCGCTTACTCCTCCTATAATCCCAAGAACAACAACTGCCATCGTGATGCCTTCACTGTCTCCACGATCAACTTCCTCACCTCTGTGCTGGCCACTCTGGTGGTGTTCGCTGTGCTCGGCTTCCGCGCCAAAAACAAGGCCGTGGAATGTGTGGTCAGGTATGTCGGATCTAAAGAAAAACACTCATGAAATACTTTTATAAAAACTCAAGAGAGGTACCACAGTTAGTTTGATTCACAGATTCTTTGAATGTTTTGTGTGCCTCGCTATGTCTTGTTGTACAAACTGTATGTTTACACTTTTCTTTCCTTTCCTTAGTAATATTAAGGAGTTATCGGAGCAGTTTCTCAGCAGTCCTGTGGAGAGAAACTTGATGCCAAGCTTCAACTATTCTGATCCCAGTGCTGTGGCTCTAGAGGACTACAGGGCCTGGTTCAAACTGCATGGAAATCAGTTCCCAGGCAATCTAACAGACTGTGACCTGGAGAAAGAGATGCAGCAGGTACATATTAAGAGTTTTTGGGCTAAAATAAATGAGCATTTTTGTTGTATTCTGTGTGCTAAACGTGGCACTTGTTTGTGTTCAGGGTGTGGAGGGAACAGGCCTGGCTTTCATCGCCTTCACAGAGGCCATCTCTCTCCTGCCTGGCAGCCCCTTCTGGTCAGCGCTCTTCTTCCTCATGCTGCTCAACTTAGGGCTCAGCACCATGTTTGGCACCATGGAGGGAATCCTCGCCCCACTCACTGACCGCTTCAAAACTCTGGCCAACAACAAGACTAAACTCACAAGTAAACACTTTTTAATTTACCTCAACCTAGGGCTGTGCAATTAATCGTATTTTAATTGCAATTACGATTTTGGCCTGCCACAATTACGAAAACAACATCATCGAAAAAAACTATTATTTTGCTTTGCTAGGTTGTGACAGTGCACTGCAACATATTTGATCTCATTTATTTGTATTTATCATATTTATATATGTTTAGTAGCTTGTGGAAGTGCGCTCCAAAATATTTGTTGATCTTGTTTATTGGTATTTATTATTTTGATATTATTTATTTAAATATAAATGTATCATTTATTTTTGTATTGGTTTTTCAGTTGAATTATACGTTCAGGGTAATCAGCAGTTAAAAAGATACTGTTCAAATTATTATTTGTTTTAAAGTTCATTAATGGATGTTTTCAAAGTCAAGGAATAATCGTATTTAATAATGGTGATATCAATTATTGACCAAAATAATCGTGATTATGATTTTTGCCATAATCGAGCAGCCCTAACTCAACCCTTGTTTCTTCTTTTAGAAAATGGACAAGTCGCACACATTTACAAAGCACAGCACACACTGAAATATAAGTCTCTGCATTTCACCCATCCTCGACTTTAAGCACTGGGCAGCTATTATACAGCTGCCCAGGTGTACATCTGCCTTGCACAAGGGCAGCGCCAGGGAGGTAAACGTGCACCTGACAAAGAACTGGTCCTCTCTCCATACTTGGTCCGTTCTGAGACTTGAACCAGCAACCCTAGTCAAGTCCCTGCTGACTGAGCGACTGCTGCCTTTTTAAAGGGGCAAGAATGCATTAATTTATTTTTATTGCTAAGCCTTGAGTCGAGAAGCTTTCAAACAACTGGGATTTTATGAACTCAGATTCAAGATTTGCACACAGCTCCAAACAACAGGCAGTGGTTATTGTGTGTTCCCCATTAAGTGCTATTTTAAAGTACTTTTTTGTTATATTACCCTGCTGGTGGATATCTCTGCTAACAGCCAGTAGATCCGTGTCTTGTCACGTGTCATGGATTTCCTGCCAACCATCAGCTGATTACACACTTTCAAGCTGAGCGGAAGCAGAATTAGTAGAAACCATGAATGTTTGCATTGACTTTAAATTCATTTTGTGTTTTTGTTGTTTTACCCTAACATGTCTGTGTTGTTTTAGTTGTCAGCTGCATCATCGGCTTTGTAATCGGCCTCCTCTTCACCCAGCGCTGTGGAAACTACTTTGTGATGATGTTCGATGATTACTCTGCCACTCTGCCACTCATCATTGTTGTGGTTTTTGAGACCTTCAGTGTGTCCTGGCTGTATGGAGCTGATAGGTGGGGTCTAATTTCAGACTATGGATAACTGTCTTCTTAGATGTAAATGTCTCTGAGTCTTATCAGTGTTGGTCACAAATGTGTGATATGTACCACTCTGGGTGTCTGAAGGTTCCTGGATGACATTGAGGGGATGCTGGGCTGGCGTCCTCATGTGATCTACAAGTACCTGTGGAAATACGTCTGCCTGCTCGCTATGCTGGGGCTGCTGGGCGCCACCATCATCCACATGTTCATCAAACGCCCCACCTATATGGCATGGAACCAAGAGAAGGTATGTTAACACTGACATTTTTTTTATTTGTTCGGGAAATAATTGTCTCTGCTTTCTAGACGTTAGTTAGTTTGTGCAGCCACACATGTTTAAGACAAACAGCCCTTAAAAAGCAAATTGTCACTCCTTACTAAATTCCCAACCTAAAGCATATAACTAATGGTTTATTTCTCTATGTATTTCTCTGAGTAGTGATAAGTTCCACTTGTTTCAGACCTTGCGTGATTTTGATTTTGATTCTATTTTCTCTTCTTCAGGGATCTGAGGAGTACCTCGAGTACCCGGACTGGGCTCTGGCTGTCATGGCCTTGCTGATCATATTTGCTGTGATGCCCGTCCCGATTGCTTTGATTCACGCTGTCCTGATGGACTGGACAAGACAAAGAGCCAGAGATTCAGAGGCTGGTCAGTACAGCATTGTTAGCACCAGCGATAAATGTGAAACTCCAATGACTGACATGTCAGACCTGGACCGAAGTAACGGGACTGCTGCTTCCTGAACACTGGACGTGACGTTACACACTGGGAAATGAAAAGCAGTGAGTTGTCGGTGGGAAATCTTGAAGGATAGTTGCATTAGGTCAGCGGTGGCCCAGAAAGCAATCGCAAAATGTTCCTAAATGTCATATTTAAAACTTTTAAAACCTAGATTAAGTCAAAGTATCAAGAGGACTAAATACTACTGCTCCAAAAAGTAGACATTTGAAATTGTTTTTTATGAAAAATGTGGAACAAATAACTTATTGCTGTGTAAAAACACCAGGTAGGACTTCCAAAAACTTATTGTTACAGAGTTGCGAAAACAAAGTCTCCTATTTTATTCAGGATTAGCCACAGGCAGCACGCCATGTTCATGCATTCCTTAGTTACTTACCAATGGTAAAGTTGTAAATGTACCTAAAATAACCTACATTGTTCACCTTTTTTAAACACGCTTTTATGTGAGACTCATCTCATTTCAAGAAAATCAAACAACTTTCACTCCTCGTTTCTTTGAGGACAGATGAACATCAAACCACTGTTACGTCTGTTCAAGAGTGTGTTTAAGGCTCTTGTGTATTGGTTGTTTTTTTAACCTTTTTATAATGAACTTATACTGCACAGTGATTGTGTATGCTTCTCAAAGTGTTGATAGGCTAAGATTGTAAGTAAGTGGAGTTACAACAAAAAGGTTGAGCCTTAATTTAAACCTGTAAATGGCAGCACAGTGGTGATGCTCCTGTTGCTGTTGTATATTCTCGTCAAAGCCAAGCAGCTATAGAAAGGGTCAATCCAGCTATAATGACATTACATTCAGCTCTTGGGTCCAGCATCAGGGAAATGAGTATTTCAGTCATTCCTTTTCATACAAATTATTGCGATGAACAACCTTTTTCGTTTACTTTTTACCACACAGCAGTGCCGTTGTCTTTGGCTTTGCAACTAGACCTTTATTCATGTTGTTTTTTTTCAAAGGCTACTTATCAAATGAATGTGATCAAAGACTAAAATCTAGTCAATTAATTTCCGAACAGTTTTCTGAAAAATGTTTTCATGTCTTGCTCTGCTGCACAGATTCACTTGAATAGCTTGTCCGTAAACTGTTACGTTGGTATGTATAGAAATCATGTTAAAGGACAGCTAATGTGTGTAGCTATCTTGGTTGTAAAACCTAAACGGTACAAGGGCTGATTTTCTCTCTGCTACAACCGCCAACAGCAGCTAATCTTGGGCCATCCACTTCTCTTTCCCACTCTCAGAACACACACACCTATTTCATGGTGTCATTAAAGCTTTTTACATGAATTATCTAGTTAAAAAAAAGTAGATATCAGGTGACAACGTCAGCATAACTTTCCGTGGAGCTTTTAAACACTACCCCAGAAAAGACTCTAGCGTTTATCTGTTACTATTTGCTTTGTAGGCAAATGACAAGTACTGTCTGATGAAAATGGAAGAAGTGAACCGCTTTGTGTCCGGGTTTTGTTCCGGAGATTTGAGCCTTTTCCTTAGGTAGACCATTAATTTGCCTCAACAGTGTTACTGCTAGTAACACATCAAAACATATTTATTTCTGCAATCATCGACTGATTTGTCAAACACAGTATGGTGCAAAGATCAAGGTAACCCCATTTGTAATGTACATATGTATATAGTATATAGTACATCATGTAGAAACTGCTTAAGAACAAATGTCAGAGAACAAGTCTGGGACTTTCTGTCGTGTCTTATTTGTAAATTAGAAATTAGCATGATAGATTTTTTTTCTTAAGGTCTGGTTTAGGAGGAACTAGTTGCAAGAGGTTATATGAAGCCACTGACCAGATACAGTCCTCCTTTACTTCAGAGTTAAATGCACTATTTTATCTAATTCATGTTTTTTTTCTTTTAATATATATCGTTTAGACTTGCGAGGTCATCATTGTCTTTTAGAAGCAATTTTTCTGAATTTAAAGTAGATTGTTTTACATTTGTATTGGGTTTCTATCAGAATGAATTGAATTGATGCTGTATATTTATGTGCCTTCAGACTAGATTAGGCTGACCGGACAACATGCTTAAGGTATTGAATCAAATATATGTTGTTAAAAACACATTTCCTTTGGCTGACTGTCTTGTAATTGTTTGTTAGTCTGTATAAAATGGATTCTTCTGAGAAAATGTAATATATTTTTGCTTTTATTAAAAACTTCATCACAACAGTATATTGAATTGTGAATGACATGTTGCTCAAGCCTGCACATTTTAACATTGCTCCAACAAGGTATCAGACTTGTTAAATGGTTTTCTATTTTCGCTCTAAAACTGGGTTTATAAATCCAAATGAATTCATATCAGTGTTTTTAAAGTAGTTGAAAAGACTACAGAGAAGTTGCTTTTCCACCTTCTTAGGTATGCTATGTTTTTTTTGTCTGCTGATTACATCTTTCCCAAAATATTTTTGCGGTATGTGTAGAGGAAACTTCTGTGTAGCTATGCAGTGGGAGTCACCGACTCAGGAAGGAGACACGGGAAGAGCAGTAGCTTTGATGTCAAACACATGATGGTTTATTTGGAGTTAACGGCCGGAGGATTCACATCACAAGTCCAAGAGTCAGAGGTTCTGACTTCACGGTAGAGTTGCCAAGTCAATTCTGGAGAGCCTCTCTCTTGCCAGCCCATCTAACTGGTTTCGCAGAGAGTAAACAACATATTTGAGGAGATAGCCTAAACAGTGTGGGAACACAGAGCTACTTGCCTCGGACACTTATGACCTCGAAGATTTTACCTTGGAGTCCACAAATACAGAGAAGGAAGTGTCCCAGTATTGACCGGTCACAGAATGGGAACAATAACATTATTGGCTAAGCCGCCTGTGTCCTTAAAGAAGGTAAACAGACATCGAGGTTTGTCCTGTATGTTACAAATTGGCATGATAATTGATGATGATAATTATTTCCACAACAGTCCTCTCTTTTTATCATTTATGATAACCTAAAAACATTAGTCTAATAATAATTTGGTCAATAATTAACTCAATAGGCGTCTCCAGGTTCGAGTGTGGTCTCACCTTACATCAATTATATCACAAAGTGGAATAAGATTGAAACATTCAATCACAATGATTGATACAGCCAATCATAATAGGAAAAATCATCTCTCATCAGTGTTTGATCATCTTTTGTCAAAAGCATAATAATGAACACACATAAAACACAGGTGCACAATGGCTAAATATTTGTTTTTAAACTAATATATTTGATCATTTACCATTAGTTAATTTCATTCATTAAACTATAAAATCAAAACCAGCTTGCCGCTTTAAAGATTTACTTCAAGGCAATCACTAGTCAAAAGCATTTTAAAACTCAGGATCGTAAGAGATCCAGCTACAAATTCACAGTTAGAGTATAGAATTCACACTGGGGATTTGATCAATCTGTAATCTGCAAAAGTGCAGTGTCCTCAATTTTAGGATTACTTTTACCGTTTACTCAAATACGCTTTAGTCAAGAGTAAGGCACTTAGTGAAATCAATACATTCATTTTAGTCAAGTACATTGTTCAAAATCTGAAAAGGAAAAGTTAGGCAAATATTCAAAGACTTTTGTAAAAACCTGGAAAGGAAGGATTAAACATTTTTAAACCTTGAATTATTACATTTGTAAATGCTACCACTGATCTGTACCAAATTAAGTCTATCAATTATTCCTATTAGCCATACTTACCTGAGCTACTTATGGTACTTGGAAAGGATTCTTCTGTGTTTATCTAATGTTGAGAATATCAATTTCTTTAAATTATACTTCTCTAATTTGAGGATCAAATATGCTACATAATTGTTATATGAAATATTATAAATATTTGTTTTGGGCCAAAACTGAAATTAATCCAGTACTTGAAACATCATTGTAGGTCTTTCTATGCATGGATAATACATTAAAGAGTAGTGTTGTTAAGCCTGATTGCTGGATTCAAATCCACTAGAGTGCATGTACCTATCCAGAGGGGAGCCAGAACTTGATAGAGCTTGTCGCCGCACAACCAAACGTAATCTTGTGGCGAGCTAAACCCCACATCACTGGGCCAGGCCAGTTGTATTGCTCACGGTTGCGTTGTCGTTTTCCCAGGCGAGCCGTCATCACGAGGTGGGAATGCTCCATGGGGTGTGTGTGTGTATTCCTTCGGTCGATGTTGTGACACGGACAGTCAGACTCCGCACACCGGTAACACAAACGAGGAACCAGAGGGCATATGGAACCGCTCAGCTGGCACTCGCTCGTGATACCTTGTGTGTAGTGTGTTTTGGTGTATGTAGTGCAAGTGTGGTGCAAGTTGGTGATTAGGACATCACTTGTTGTCATCTACTTCTGTTGGTGACTAGGACACATCACTTGTTGTCATCTACTTTTGTTGGTGACTAGGACCTTGCAGTGGCTGGCGTGGACCCACGTAGCTCTCTCTCTGACCCTTGGCCTTCAGAGCTGTCCTACTGTAGTTATTGGGTTAACACTTGATAGGGATGTTTTCCTGAGTGCAGACAACTCAAGGTAATGGATTAGCACATTATCATTTAAATACAAAAATAGGATAGGCCCCTCAGAATTATTTGGGAGCCTTCCTGAGACATGCACATGCATAAATGTAAGGTTTGTGTTAGTCATTTAACATGCAAGAATCATAAACTCATCAGTCCAAAGTAGAGAAATGTTATTTTAAGTTAAAGGTGAGCTAGTCCCTGCGGATATCACCCCTTCTCAATGATTCTAAATGTTATATTAATTCACCATTTACCGTTTGATAACATATTAGTTTATCAGAAATATTTTCCTCTTCCATAAAACAGGTTTGAGAAATAAATGTTCCAATATAAAATCAATTACTCAATATAATTGACTCTTCCCTCCCTTTTCTTACATATGTCTCATATGAAATAATAACTTAGGAGTCTATTTAAGCATGGTGTAATCTATTACTCGAGAAGACTCAGTATCACCTGTGTGCAGCTTACAAAAAAACAAACAGTGAGAAACATATATTATGCAGGAAATGCATACCTTTGTTAAAAAAACAAAGCATATCTGATTTGGGAGGAAAAGCTTCTTCCCCTTAACATCTGAGTCACTACTGATGGCATAGCATAAATGATAGTGGGTGTCTGAGGGTGTTTTTACTGAGAAATGTCAAACACATTCAAAACCTTACATTTGAAAACAGGTTTGCATTCCTTCTCTTAAAATGACGTTATCATTGGAAACAATAAAAGCTAATTGTTTTGATGTAGAATCTATCAATTGAATTGTTAGAGCAGAACAGAATGGTCGTATTGTAGCCTGAGTACCGTGCAGCCTTCAGTTTCACCAGGTGGAAACATTGTCCATATAATGTGAATACATGTAGAACTAGACATTAAGAGGCCCCTGACATTTAGGCCTATTTTAAAAAATAGTAGGGGCTTTTAACAGCTTGCCAACCTACAGGCATCCTCTGCATAGCAGTATGAATAGCCTTAAAAAAAACAACCCACTCTGCGGTAACGAGAGTCATATTTCTGAACCAAATGCCCTAAGTTAAGCCGTTAGTCCCATCTGACTGACCCAAGGGTTGGTGCTGGTGTGACCGGGAGGCTTCCAGGTGTTCTTTCAGTTCATGGCTTGGTGGGGGGAGTGGCCCACGTGAGACAGTATTGTTCAGTTTGAGGAGCGGCATTGTCTCTGGAAGCAGGGAATGGTGTCCATTCTCAGACCAGACCATTAATGTCATTTCATGTAGAGCAGCCATAGCATCTCTGTGACTGCACTCAGCCGGACTGTCAGAACTGGGTGACTCTTAGTGAAGCCGTCCAAGGCCATAGACAGAATGGAACCACGTACCAACAAAAGGGACACAAGGTCATCAATGTCTCTCTTTACCATTGGCCTAATTGCACAACAAATTAGTGGGAAAAATGTGGAGCACTAATCCATCATGTGAAATGTTGAGTTAATCTAAATAATTCCTTATGGGTTGATATCAAATTAACATTATAACTAAAGTCAGTCATAATTGGACTTTGCACGGATCCGAATCTAAGCAATACACCATTTCCCCAGCTCTGTAATGAAAAGGATAAGAAGATTAGGTACATTACAGGAGTGTTCCACACCCAAACATGCACACGTATCTTATTCTAGTAGAGATTAGAGGACAAGGTCTAATGTTGTGAACAAAATGATCAAGTCAAAGTTATTTTGTTTATTGTTATGTACCTAATTTAATTTAATAATTAATCTTGAATTACTAATAACTTTAAAGAAGGCAACAATTTACAATTTGGATGAAGTGATTACTCATCCAAAGTGTGTGTGTGTGTGTGCTTGTCTGCCCAAGGTTTAAAACATTTGGGACAGCACAGCAGTGAGAATGTTATGAGAACCAATCTGTTGTTTATACTAAACTCGAAGGAAGCTAGACTGGAACATTTTAAATAAATCAAAACACTTGCACATTAATTAAATACATTTCACATTTAGCTCGAGCTGGGTTCAATACTTTTCTTTATGGTATTTAAAATTGGGCTCGAGTAGAACCCCTGGATTTGGCTTGCAACACAAAGTGATACTGATCTCTGTAGGACTTGGGAGTGTTATGATTCAAAGTGCCTGTGAAAGAGAGGCCCTTGGAAAACAACATCTATTTTGTAACTGTAATTACTTATTTTAAAGAAATTGCAACATTATACTTTTAAAGAATTGCTCAATTAATTTAACACATTTATTATGCACACAATAAAAACTTCAACAAATATATTGATCCTGGCTTAACCAGCAACCTTTACTCTGTTGTTCATAAGCTCGCTTTCAGAAAACGTGTCTGTAGTTTAACAACTATTTTAATTTTAATGTTAAACTATTTTTAAAACTGTAATTGAACTTCAACTTATATTAATTACCTGATTCCAGTGGCCAGTTGGAACAGAATAATTAACACAGTTTCCATTTTGCTGCAACAGCGCAAAAGGTTTCAACAACAATTAGTATTATGTCTGAGTCTAGTTCTGCTTTGTTTCGGAATGTGTTCAATACATTACGTTTTTATTCATTATTACTATACAATACATAGATTAAGAATAAATGAAACAAATAATACAACATTGACCTAAAACCAGATTTTGCAACCCTGATCTCCTCAGGCAAGTCTCTGAGGGTCTCGGGCGCAGGACGGGGCATAGGGTTTATACAAGGTCACAAAGATATCTTAACATACCAGCAATACCATCTAAGAATGGATTCTTAAAGCAATATAATCTTATTTTCTTCTTACACCTAGCGCTCACCCTGAACAGTGGGCTTCTTGTTTACATTTTCCCCTGCACTCAGAGGCGGGACACAAAAACACTTTTTATTTTTCTCAGGTCATTTACTTTTGGTGAGATAATTAAAGTTTAGTTCATTTTACCCTGTCTATGGACTGATTCATTATTGTTACAAAACATACACAAGACGGCGGGACAAACCAATATAGACCCCCATACAAACAATCAGACAAACAAAACATGAACTCTTAATAAACACCAGCGCGACAGCAAAGCTCATCAGCTCAATTTAGTCCGGATTTTAGAGATCTTAGAGGGGGTAGGGAATTAGTGGGGCGTCTTCTCACGCCTCACCCTTGCATACAAGTGATTTATCGGTGCCTGAAAGCCGTCCAAGAGCGGTAACTAGCTTATCCTCTTGCGACAACCACTAGGCTATTTGTTTCTAGTGGCGCTGTGCCCCCCCGATCGGAGCCCACAGACTTTTTCCCTGCCCTTTCTCTCCAAACAACAGCTCAGTTGACTGTAGTCCGTACGACCAGCCTATATACACTTGCTATCGAGTTCACCTCAAGGTGAAACACAGTTTGCCTATGCTTGCTTGCCACTACACACCTCTGATCAATTAGCCTATCATTTTATGTATGCACTCTAGACCGCCACCTGCTCCAGAGAACCGTGGCGCATCGGGTGATGCACGCACTTCGCGCTGGCCCGTCTAACCATGAGAAAAGCGGTCCTAAACAACGAGTGCTTTTAGACCGTCCCGTTTGAAGGACGGCGGTGCCGTGAGTTAAAGCCTATACGCAATAAGCTGTGACTTTCTCCCTCTCAGCCTGCACTGCTCCAGCCCCACACACACGCAGTGAGGTTTCTTTTACACACACACACGCAAGGCTGCAGCTGGAGCCGTGTTTTTACAGAGAGGTGATAGCAGCAAATATCTTTGGCTGCTTATTTTCAACTGCTATGTTTAGCCACTAAGACCCTCAAAATCCGGCGATTTGTTCAATACAAATCTTTTACATTGCTTTCAATTCACACAGAAGCTCCACTTCACTGATGCCCTTTCTTTAAGGTATCTCTAAACATGAGCTGTGTATGCCTGTATGGCACTTCCGTCCCGAGCAGCACACACAGAGGAAATCAGCCAGGACTGAGTCCCCAGACACTGATCTCCTGGGTTTATCATCCCCAAATGTTCATTAACCAAAAGGAAACGCAGCCAATCAGTTTCACAGGTAATTTTAGGATACCGTCAATCACAGATTCTGATAAGGCAATGTCCAAAGTAGATTTGAAAATCACACTTACCACAATCTGAAGATCTGTTGGCATCCTGCCGACAACGCCAATCTGTAGAGGAAACTTCTGTGTAGCTATGCAGTGGGAGTCACCGACTCAGGAAGGAGACACGGGAAGAGCAGTAGCTTTGATGTCAAACACATGATGGTTTATTTGGAGTTAACGGCCGGAGGATTCACATCACAAGTCCAAGAATCAGAGGTTCTGACTTCACGGTAGAGTTGCCACGTCAATTCTGGAGAGCCTCTCTCTTGCCAGCCCATCTAACTGGTTTCGCAGAGAGTAAACAACATATTTGAGGAGATAGCCTAAACAGTGTGGGAACACAGAGCTACTTGCCTCGGACACTTATGACCTCGAAGATTTTACCTTGGAGTCCACAAATACAGAGAAGGAAGTGTCCCAGTGTACCCACAACACAGACCATCTGTATCCCAGTATTGACCGGTCACAGAATGGGAACAATAACATTATTGGCTAAGCCGCCTGTGTCCTTAAAGAAGGTAAACAGACATCGAGGTTTGTCCTGTATGTTACAAATTGGCATGATAATTGATGATGATAATTATTTCCACAACAGTATGTACAGCTGGCTGGTGATTATAGCTTATGTTGATTTTTTTTTAAGGGGCAGAAATATGTATGACAGCTCCAAAGTTTAGTTAAACAGTCGTTGAGAGGCAAACATGTAAGCAGATCCCTCAGATTGTAATGTTTTCTTTATTTACTTTTCAGGCTTTCTAAGCATGTACACATTTACCTTTTTGAAAACACAAGTTATCCTTAAAGGGTTTCACTACGGAAACAATGGGTGGTTACAGTTTGTACTTGAAAGCTCAGAGAAGCTGGCAATTTATTAAAAACGAATAAACAGGATAATGCAATCCTTCCACCCAAATCCAGCCTTGCATAATGCTGTTGCCCTCTTGCCCCATTATCAGTTTGTTAAAGGTGAAGCTCATCAAGACCGAGGTAAGGGAAGATGTTCTTATTGACCTGTGACCTGCCGCTCTCTCTGTGTGTGTTTAAGTGTATCTGTAAACGTCAGTGAACTAGCGGGCCTTCTAGGACCCTGGAACCGAGGGAAACTGAAAGAATACGCCCATTGGCTACAAATCAATATATGATTGGTTGATCAAACTGTCAATCCAAATGTACGCTCTCATTCAGTGCAACGGCCAGGGCATTCTATCAAGGATATAGAATACCTTGGTTGAAGGATATTCTACCCAGAGACCCAGAACAAGATCTGATTGGTTGCTTTATTTTCTAACACAAAACCACTGAAATGCGTAGTGCATGGTCCGAGAAGGACAAACAAATCAACGTAACCCTGTAATATTACAGATCAACAACACGATTCTCATTTATTCATTTTATATACATTTTATTTATATAATTAAATCGATTTATTTGTTTTATCTGAGTGTTTTATCTGAGTGTTCCAGGGTATTCTCTGAATACCTTGAAGGCCCTGACGGTTCGCCACTGGAATTGAATGACCAGATGTTTACAGATGTACAATTGTTTTTTTATATTTCCAATGACCAGACATGTGTTAAATAGTGGTGATTAATATATTTGTGTCAGATCAGATTACACTTTCGCACTAAAGAAAATAAATATTCTCATATTATAAAGTATTGAATAATAAGGTATTTCTACTATTATCACAGATAATGTTAATATCCTTAATTGGCCAGCAATCAGGCTTAACAACACTACTCTTTAATGGATTATCCATGCACAGACAGACCTAAAATGATGTTTCAAGTACTGGATTAATTTCAGTTTTGGCCCAAAACAAATATTTATAATAAATCATAAAAAATGATGTAGCATATTTGATCCTCAAATTAGAGAAGTATAATTTAAAGAAATCTATATTATATATTCAACATTAGATAAACACAGAAGAACCCTTTCCAAGTACCATAAGTAGATGTTCAGGTAAGTATGACTAATAAGAATAATTGATGGAGTTAATTTGGTACAGATCAGTTGTAGCATTTACAAATGTATGAATGAAAGTTTTAGGAATGTTTAATCCTTCCTTTCCAGGTTTTTACAAAAGTCTTAGAATATTTGCCTAACTTTTCCCTTTCAGATTTTGAAGTGACATAATAATTGATAGCTTAAGTAATGTAATTATGTTATCATGCCATAGTCTTTTAATTTAATATGTAATGAAGCTAACGTAAATATAATCCTGAATTGAAGACACTGCAATTTAGCAGATTACAGATTGATTAGATCACCAGTGTGAATTTGTATACCTTAGCTGGATCTCTTATGATCCTGATTTTAAATGCTTTTGACTAGTGATTGCCTTGAAGTTAATCTTTAAACTGCAAGCTGGTTTAGATTTTATAGTTTGATAAATAAGATTAACTAATGATTAAATGTTAAAACAATTTAGTTTAAAATAAATGTTTTTCTTATTATGTATCTGTGTTTAAATATGTTCATTATTATGCTTTTGACAAAAGATGCTCCAAACACTGACGAGAGAAGATTTTTCTATTGTGATTGGCTGTCTCAATCATTGTAATTGAATGTTTCAATCTTATTATGTTGTTATTAATGTGATTGATGTAATTGATGTTGTGTAAGTCCACACTCAAATCTGAAGATTCCCATTGATTTAAGTATTGAACAAAATATTATTAGACTAAGGTTTTTAGATGATCAAAATTGATAAAAAGAGAGAAACTGTTGGGGAAATATTTTCCAAGGCCCATAACTTTGAGGTGGGGGTAGAGTTCTTCATAATTGATTATGGCATCTCAACCGTGTGGTCAAACCGTGGCCCGTGACTTGTCTTGTGACCTCTCCGCCCGAAGCTCCAAATAAACCGTCAGTGTTTGCCATCAAGGCTCCAGCTCTCCATCGTGTCTCTCTTTGAGTCCTGACTCCAATTGCTTCAGAAGTTTCCCCCACAGATTATATTTGTATTCAAAATGTTTCACATTCCTCTGACTTCCGCACGTCTGCACAATACTACCACTTGTCATGGTTATTTCTGAATTATTATTTTTAATTCATATTTGTCTTTTATAATACTTCTCTATACACATATTTACTCTATTATTGTTTTATCTTTTCTTTTTAATGACTGATTTTAAATGCCATTTTCTTAATGTCTTTCATTTTTTGTTTTTGCACTTTGAATTGCCTTGTGTTGAAAGGTGCTATATAAATAAAATTGCCTTGTCTATATTTGCTCTTTTCTTACAGTTGAATTCCTCTGAATATCCATGGGGGTGAAAATCTTAGATAAACAGTATTATTGCTTAATGGAGTCAGATTATAACGACATTTATGGTAAACCTGTGCAGAATCCACAGATAAAATGAGCTGCATTCCCCAGACGTTGGCACTAAGGGTATGATCCTCCACAGTCTCAGTGCAGTGGTTCACATGTTGACCGGTGTCTTTCCTTTATTCTTCCACCCTCTCTCAGATGGAGAATCAGTGGTCAGTGGGATATGTTGAAGAGGAGATCCAGCCGGTTCCCTCTGAGCCTGCAGCTCGAGCCGGGTGGAACAGAAAGATAGAGTATATTCTGGCTCAGGTGGGGTTATGCGTCGGGTTCGGCAACATCTGGAGGTTTCCATATCTGTGCCATCAAAATGGAGGAGGTGTGTATTGTCATCGGTGTGAGATGACATGGGATTGAAAGAGCAAAGAGAGATTATTCCATGCATGTGAATTAAATACCAAAGTGTTTATAGACTCTTGAACTTTCTGGATATGATACTAATCACTGCTGCTCTGCGGCTGATGTTCTAACATCTGGATTATATTTTATTCCAGGGGAAATGTGGCTACTTTAGTAAAACATAAGGAACGGTCCGAAACATAGAATCAACACCGACTGTGTTTTAAGATTAAGACATGGAACAAGGCTCCCCTATGTTAACATTTATCTCAACCATTCAGATGAGCCTCATGTGCCTATTTATCCTGATTTTAAAAAGAACATTGTGCTGCAGGTGTCAGTAATAAGAAGGTTTTGGGATTGAAATATCCCAGTCTACTACAAACATTTGCTTCTTGTTAACATCGTTTTTTGTTCAGAGTAACTAATTGTGCTGCTCCCCCCTTGTCCTCAGGGTCTTTCCTCCTCCTCTATGTGCTACTCCTGCTGACTGTGGGGATCCCCCTGTTCTTCCTGGAGCTGGCCACCGGGCAGGCCATCCGACAGGGCGGCATCGGGGTGTGGAAGTTCATCTCCCCCCGGCTGGCAGGGATCGGATACTCCAGCTGTGTGGTGAGAAACTGACACTGTCCACCGCCTTCTGCTAAAGATATTTACTCTATTATTGTTCAGTTTATCATGTTAAATCTTTTCCAGGTGTATGTGCTAGAGTAGCCACTGTCTCAAAGCATAGTGCTATATCTAAAGGGTGAGGAAGTAGTTATATATTATTTACCCAAATATTAAAAAATGAAGTAACTGCAAGGAAGCAGGCTGTATCTGTCTTTGCATAATCATCAGGCAGCTCTATTACTCGGTTTGTCTAAAACTGTTGTTTTTCTTGTTCACTTTTCTGAAACATGGTTAATGGTATTTGCACAATAGTTACTCCTTTTCAAATATTTGTTTTGTCCTCAGGTGTTTTCCACTAAGACATAAATAAAAGCACAACAATCAATATATACAAAATATATCGTGCAATGGTAAAAATATGTCCCAGAGTAGGGATTTTGCGATACCATTTTTACTGCTCTAGCTGTTCTAGTGCTATCTTTTGATTCTCGCTTCATTTCCCCGATCCAGCGCAGTGCTATATCTAAAGGGCAAGGAAGTTGGTGTATTTATCCAAATAGAAAAGGAGAAGTAGAGTAATCATCAATGTGTGTATTACTGTTTGGCTAAAACCACAACCATTAACATCGTTTTTCTCACCTTGTTTTACATTTGGTTAATGGTATTTGCACAATAGTTATTCCTTTTCAAATATTTGTTTTGTCCTCAGGTGTTTTCCAAATCATCGTATAATCTTCTCATAACCTGATGATGTTGTGCTCACATGTCCTCAGGTGTGTTTCTTCGTGGCTCTCTACTACAATGTGATCCTTGCATGGAGCCTGTTCTACCTCGGGAACTCCTTCCAGTCGTCTCTTCCTTGGGAACACTGTCCAGTAGAGGGGAATGTGACAGGTAAACACACCGCATTACGGTTCAAAACTTATAGCACATGAGGAGTAATTCAATTGTAAATGTATAGGCATGGTGTCACGTGAAAGCTTAATGATTTATCTGTATTTCCCTTGTCTTGACACCAGTACCAGAATGTAAAAAGAGCTCCCCCACATCGTACTTCTGGTACCGTAAAGCTCTGGATATCACCGACTCCATCGATGAGACGGGCTCTTTCAACCCGTACATCGTCGGCTGTCTGCTGGCCGCCTGGACCCTTGTGTGCCTGGGAATGTTCAAGGGTATCAAGACCTCTGTCAAGGTAACCCTGTTGTGACTCCTTAGTGTTGATTTGACTATCATTGAAGCTGTGATGTCAAAAAGGTTTGTTTAACAGCTCCCAGGTGATTCAGTAGAGATGTGATTATCAGTGTTTAGTGAGTCCGTGTTGTTTTCTAGATACAGTATACATTATAATTGACAGAAATATAAAGTACTATCATGGCACTGTGATATGGTAGGTCATGTTTATCGTTAACAAATATGTGAATGTAATACTGTATCAGGTGTATAAATGATTACCTGCATGTATGTAATGGTAAAGCTAATATCTGAGTGGAATTCCAATACGGCTCTAGTCAGGGCCGGACTGGGACAATAAGTCAGGCCGGGAATTATACACCCAGCCAGGCCACTACCAGTTTTATTTGTCAATTTTTACAGCGTTGCTGCCCATAGTGATAGCCCTCTAAATCTACTACCCAAAAATAAACATATGGACATGGGTTACTATTTTAAAAAATGTGCAAATCTATTTAGGAACCTATGTGAACATATTTTAAGTGGAGGTGGACCTCAAATCCTATAGGGGGGTCCGGTGGCATGCTCCCCCGGTAAGATTTTTTTTAAATGTTGGACTTAAATGCATCAATCTGGTGCATTTTGAGGGGGAAATAAAGAGACTACACCCATATGAAACAGAACTGTATACATTTAAATAATCATAAAAACATGGCCATAACCAATAACATACCATATCCAATATGAAAAAACATTGAAACTTGTTTATTTATTTGTTTTTGGTTCATTTATAGTTGTGAGTGTGTCTGTGCTCCTGAACCAGCCTCACCTGTCTCCCCCTGCTCCTCTTTGAGGCAGCAGCAAAGACTAGTTTTAGCTCTCAACAAGTTTATCTTACCTTTTTTCCCCTAGTTAACATTTTTTTTGTATTATTCATGCATATTTTACCAATCACTCCCCCCTCAAATGGAAATATGTGTTTACATAAATGGTGACCAAACCCTTCGAGACCCACAGAGATAACTTAGACTAAGTTAACTATCTAAACACTCGGAGAGTCCTTTACCTCACCTGAGCTGTAGTTATCAGTCTCTCACCCGGCCACACGAGGACGAAAACGGCCGTTTGCGTTACTGTTTAGTGTCATATAGACCATTCGGCTACACGAGGACGACCGAATACGGCACTAAACGACTGAGGAAACGATAACGGGTCCCAAGGTGGATAGAATGGCATACGCAACGCTCTGGGGGGTCCAACGGCTCCGTGTGTGCGCCCTATACGATCATTTTCTGATAATGATTGCGCAATAGCCCCGCCTCTCCCCACCTCTGCTGCTCACCTCCGCGTACCCCGCGCCATTGCTGATGTGTTCCGCCACCAACAACAACAACAATGGCGGATCGCAGAGTTGCTATCGTGCTCCGGACGCTACTGACCATGCTACAGTTCTTTGTGCAACATCTACAGCAGACTTACACATCCGGGGGGGATCTTACTCGCTGCTTTTGTGGATATGTACTGCAGCTTCAGCGATCATTTTCTGATAATGATTGCGCAATAGCCCCGCCTCTCCCCACCTCTGCTGCTCACCCCCGCGTCAAAGTAAACTGCACACTGAATTCAGATTATTTATCTTTCTCTCGATATGGACATAAACGCGAGTGAAGTCTAATCTGACAGGACGGAGACACCTCTCAAACTACCTAAACTAGTTATAAATATGTTTATTTTTACTGTGGGCCGGGTCACTCATTACTGGATCAGCTGCTACATGAAACAGACACTGGCGCTGTCCGAAGAGAGGGAGGAAAAAGAGAGGCTCCGTGTATTTATATTATTATATTATATAGAGTCATTATTCATTTGTTTTAAAGCTCAATAAATAACAAAGAAGACCTTTGACCGGCACTTTTATAATTTTGTCGGAAGATTTAAACTTGAATACACGTTGACTGGCGAAAAACTCTGCCCGGTTCCCTCGGCCCCCACCGCGGAGAATAAACAGAAGGGCAACCATGACAACCATGCTTCTTCGCTGCTTTTGTGGAGGAAGTTACAGCGCCACGTACAGGCTCCTGCATATGTACTGCAGCTTCTCCAGCGGTTGGAGCTAAACGGAGCGGTCTCGTGTGGGCAGACACTACCCGGATAACTATTGCGTGTGGACGGAAGCTTGTTTGCGTTAATCCTATGCGTTTAGCCGTTTTCGTCCTCGTGTGGCCGGGGTCTTAGTCTGACAGGAGAAGACTCTCCTCCACCTTGTTGTTGAAAAAGCTCCTTATATCCATTAGCGCAGCTAGCTAGCACCAGATGCTAACAACAATACACGTAACCGGTGCGCACGCTTTATCGCGCCACACTAACACACACCCTCCCGAGCTTGAATGACACACAGACCAATCGAGGGCATTAGTATGATCTGTATGAAAGTGGCCATGTCGGCAGGCCACATCATGTATACAGCCAGTCACCCTCTGTGAGGCAGAGTCAGACCCACATTTGCGCAGCGTTGCGTTCACAATACATACATTAAAAAAAAAAAATCTCAGGCCACTTAACAGGCCAGGCCATCGGGAAACCTCCCGGTCCTCCCGATGGCCAGTCCGGGCCTGGCTCTAGTTAACATCACTAGAGAAAAGCAGCAATAGTAGCCAACGTTCAGCATTCAACAGGGAATTTTATTATTTACAGTTTATAAAAGCTCACGTAATGTAGCTTAGCCATTTTAAGGAAATTGTCAGCTGGAGCACAGTTTACCAATAGGACTGTGAGCTTCACGAGGGGAATAAAATATGACGGATGGGAAGAATGGTTTGAAAAACAAGCAGAGTTTATTTCAGGCTGCGGGTGTAAACACAAAAAAGGGTCTCCCATGAACCCTGGTCTGCTCCTCTATTTCCCGAGGTGGCTGGGCGAGTCACGGTCCTCCTTCCAGGACCCAGTCTACTGCAGGAGACCAGAACCAGGTTACCACATGCTTTTATTGAGTGACTGATTACCTGATTCTGATAAGCTGTCTGGTCTCCGGCCGAGCCACTATCACTCCAGCAGCCGGCGCCCTAACCACATCACGCTGCCACAAGGACATTTTTATAAAAAAGATTGGAAAATAGTTATTTTTCTGTGTGCCTTAAGCAAAAAACGAATGTTTACTGGTAGCTCGACGTATTCACTCGTTAATGTTTCTTACTCTCTTCCTAGGTGATGTATTTCTCCTCCATCTTCCCCTACGTGGTGCTGTTCTGCTTCCTGGTTCGAGGCCTCATGCTGGACGGGGCTTTAGAGGGAATCGTCTTCATGTTCTACCCAAAGGTATCTGCAGACAAAAGGCCTGGTTGATTATAGAAAAGAGAGGCTTATATACATATTTCTGTAGCACACCTACTGTCGTTTTTATTCCTCTATAGCTGGAGATCTGGGCCGACGTGCAGGTGTGGCGACAGGCAGCCACTCAGGTGTTCATTACATTTGGTATCGGCCTTGGGTCGAACATCGCTTACTCCTCCTATAATCCCAAAAATAATAATTGCCATCGTGATGCCTTCACTGTCTCCGCGATTAACCTCCTCACCTCTGTGCTGGCCACTCTGGTGGTGTTCGCTGTGCTCGGTTTCCACGCCAAAAACAAGGCCGTGGCATGTGTGGTCAGGTATGTCGGATGAGAAGAAAAACACTGATTTACGCATCAAAAACGACGTAAAGACTTGGTGAACGAAGCAAACTTGCCTATCTAACACTTCTCCCTGCTGAATCTACAGCGGGGGAAGGCACGCACATATAAACACACTCCTATGCTAATATCTTGGTAATTTTCATTTGTTTTAGGCTAATGTGGCCTGAACATTTTAACATATTACCCAACCGTAGAACAGAATCATTGACTTTATGCAGGTGTCATACTTTAAATATCTATGCATGTTGAATGAACTGTGTGTTTAAAGTTGTGTGTTTGTCTTCCCTTAGTAATATTAAGCAGTTATCGGAGCAGTTTGCGGAGCAGTTATCGGAGCAGTTTCTCAGCGGTCCTGTGGATATAAACTTGATGCCAAGCTTCAACTATTCTGATCCCAGTGCTGTGGCTCTAGAGGACTACAGGGCCTGGTTCAAACTGCATGGAAATCAGTTCCCAGGCAATCTAACAGACTGTGACCTGGAAAAAGAGATGCAGCAGGTAAATATGAATAGTCAAATTGTGGTTTTCTTTATATTGTGTGGGTGGTACATTAAACGTGGTGCTCATGTTTGTGTTCAGGGTGTGGAAGGAACAGGCATGGCTTTCATCGCCTTCACAGAGGCCATCTCTCTCCTGCCTGGCAGCCCCTTCTGGTCAGCGCTCTTCTTCCTCATGCTGCTCAACTTAGGGCTCGGCAGCATGTTTGGCATAATGGAGGGAATCCTCACCCCGCTCACTGACCGCTTTGAAACACTGGCTCAGAACAAGATCAAGTTCAGAGGTGACAAAACACCTCATTGTGTCCTAAAAAGCACCTTGAATTGCCTTGTGTTGAAAGGTGCTATATAAATAAACTTGCCTTGCCTTGCCTAAGAGAATCCCAATCAATGCAACTTCACTTTTCAAATAGTTATTGCTCAGCCTGGAGTCCAACTGGCATCTAAACAACTAAGAGTCATGATCGAATTGAATGGAGATTGGACAACCTTTTGCACTTTAGTACACAAAGATCCAAAATGTTTCCTATTAAGTGCTTTTGGACAATAAAATGTTACCTTATTTCCCTGAGAGTCACAGCCAGTAGATCAGTGTCTTGTCTTTGATCACTGACTAATCAGGATTTCAGAACCTAAAGCAGAGAGGGGGGGGAATTAGTAAAGGTACCCTCTGAGGTGATTCAGGAATTAGCCGTGAATGTATCCATTCTGCTAGTTTGCAGATGACTTTTAAAACTAAGTGTTCCTTTTGTTGTTGTTTTAGTTGTCAGCTGCATCATCGGCTTTGTAATCGGCCTCCTCTTCACACAGCGCTGTGGAAACTACTTTGTGATGATGTTCGATGATTACTCTGCCTCTCTGCCACTCATCATTGTTGTGGTTTTTGAGACCTTCAGTGTGTCCTGGCTGTATGGAGCTGATAGGTGGGGTCTATTTTCAGACTGTGCGTAACTGCTTTAACTTTGGACATATTATTTTCCATGTCAACAAATCAGTTTAGTTCTCTTAATCCCATTAATGTTGGTCACAAATGTGTGACATGTACCACTCTGGGTGTCTGAAGGTTCCTGGATGACATTGAGGGGATGCTGGGCTGGCGTCCTCATGTGATCTACAAGTACCTGTGGAAATACGTCTGCCTGCTCGCTATGCTGGGGCTGCTGGGCGCCACCACCATCCACATGTTCATCCAACGCCCCACCTATATGGCATGGAACCAAGAGAAGGTATGTTAACCCTCTGCTCCATAGCTTCTCTTTGGATAACTGGACACACTGTACATTTTACATTTATATATTATAAGACAAACAGCCCTTAAAAAGCAAATTGTCACTGACTAAATTCCCAACCTGAAGCATATAACTAATGGTTTATTTCTCTATGTATTTCTCTGAGTAGTGATAAGTTCCACTTGTTTCAGACCTTGCATGATTTTGATTTTGATTCTATTTTCTCTTCTTCAGGGATCTGAGGAGTACCTCGAGTACCCGGACTGGGCTCTGGCTGTCATGGCCTTGCTGATCATATTTGCTGTGATGCCCGTCCCGATTGCTTTGATTCACTCTGTCCTGGACAAGACAAAGAGCCAGAGATTCAGAGGCCTGTCAGTATAGCATTGTTAGCACCAGCTACAATTGTGGAAGTCTGATGACTGACATGTCATACCTGGACCAAAAAAAAAAGACTGCTGCTTCTGTTTCCTCAACACTGGACATGAAGTTACACAAATGAATTGCAGAGAAAAGTACAACGTTCAGTGGACCATTTTGAAGTACATTTGAATAAGCTCACAGGTTCTTATTCCCACAATATTTGATTAAATAACATAAAATACAGCCTTTTATATTTATCTATATCACAGCACAGAGTGACTGAATTCACTCACAAGTGAATGAATAAATAAGTATTTAAAAAAAAAAAGGTAAAAATAATTCAAACATGCTTCATCTATTTAACAAATTGTAATCTAGTATGCAGTGGAATATATTACATGCTAAAGAGTTTATACAAGCTTGGAAACTGCATTGTTACTGCAGTTAGTGGCCCGATTGACCTTGAATTTGAAGTATCACAAAAAGTTATGATAATCTGTGAAGGGAATTGTTTCCTTTAATTTTCACATGAATAATATGGCATAGTCAGCATAAAGCAATATGTTATGCTCTGTGGGCCTCACTGTTATTCCATAAAGACACAGCCAGACTTCTGCCGCCATGTAAATGTAAAGGAGGGGGACGGGTAATAATTTAAGGAGAGGGAAAGCGTTCTTTTAAATCAGGTGGAGAGCAAAACTGGACAATCAAGGAGCCAACTACTAAGTTTAAAACACAATAATTTATTCAGTAGAACATAAAAACTTTACTAAGAAAACTAAAATCAGAGCTGTCTAAAATATAATCTCAGTAAAAAGATAGTCTAAAACTATGTTAAAATACAATTAAACGTAGTTAAAACAATACAAAGAATTCAAATGTTAAAAGGGTTAAAAGTCTTTTCTCAAAACCAGTCTTTCCAGGGCTGCGAAGGTGCTCCGTCGACCCTCTCTTGGACTGCCGTGTCTTTTAATCCCTTTGTTACGTGTGCCTCTGCTCCTGATGCGTTCTGCTTCTGCTGTCTCCTTCAGTCTCAGTCCCAGTTTCCGTCTCTGCTCCTGGTGCGCTCTGCCTCTGCTGTGCCCTTCAGCCTCTCTCAGTTTCCGTCTCTGCTCCTGGTGCGCTCTGCCTCTGCTGTGCCCTTCAGCCTCTCTCAGTTTCCGTCTCTGCTCCTGGTGCGCTCTGCCTCTGCTGTGCCCTTCAGCCTCTCTCAGTTTCCGTCTCTGCTCCTGGTGCGCTCTGCCTCTGCTGTGCCCTTCAGCCTCTCTCAGTTTCCGTCTCTGCTCCTGGTGCGCTCTGCCTCTGCTGTGCCCTTCAGCCTCTCTCAGTTTCCGTCTCTGCTCCTGGTGCGCTCTGCCTCTGCTGTGCCCTTCAGCCTCTCTCAGTTTCCGTCTCTGCTCCTGGTGCGCTCTGTCTCTGCTGTGCCCTTCAGCCTCTCTCAGTTTCCGTCTGTCCTCTGCTGCTCTTCTCCTTCCCTTTATAGGCGTGTAAATTGGCTTCAGGTGTGGTCACTCATTGTCAATCACCATGGCAAGGCCAATCCAAACATTTCAAAATAAAAGCATGCAGCAGGAAGTTAAAACCAGTTAAAAAGGCAAACACATTTCAGAGTAAAATCACACAATAAAAAGGTATAAAACACACACACTTAAAACCATGCAATCATGAATAATTAAAATACATTGCCATGTGACATCCTCTCACTCTTTAATGTTGCCAGTCCCTGCAACCATTAGTCTCTGTAACGTACCGGTGGTTGACCAAGATTAGTCCGTGTGGAGCGTCGTGGGTCATTTGCTTGTTCTACTTCTGGAGGGAGTACAGCTACTGCAGCAGGTAGGAACCCATAGAACATTGGTTCTGGCAGTCTCTGAGTCTCTGTGGCAGGTTCTTTGACTGGAGAGTGAACATCTGCTGGGGGAGCTGTACACACTTTTAGAGCATTTCTATGCAAGGTTTGTTCAAGGCCCCCCAGTCTCTGGCTGAACCCTATACACCACCCCAGTGTTTCCCACCTGTTCCAAAATCACATAAGGTTTAGAATCCCACCATGTACACAATTTACCTCTTCCCTTTCTGTTCCTGTCACGCATCCACACTCTCTCCCCAGGTAACAGTGGTAAGGCTCTAGCTCTCTTGTCATACTGTTGTTTGTGTTGGGAGGCTGCATTACCCATCTTTTGTTTAGCCCAGCTATATGCTAGTGAGAGCCTCTGTTGATGGTCCTTCACCCACCCATTAAGGTCATGCCGAGGTTGTTGATAGGCCACCCCTAATCCTACAGGTAGTCTCAGGTGTCTGCCAAACATCAGGAAAGATGGGGCATAACTGGTTGCACTATGTGTCGTGTTATTATATGCATGCACCAACTCAGGCAAGTACTCATGCCAGCGGCTTTGCTTCTCAGTCTCAAGGGTGCGAAGCATGTTGAGCAAGGTCTGGTTAAACCGCTCTGCACTACCGTTCCCTGCAGGGTGATAAGCTGTGGTGTGACTTTTGGCAATACCATAGGTCTCGCACAGCTGTTTTATTAGTGCTGACTCGAAATGTGGTCCACGATCTGAATGAAATCTGGCTGGACAACCAAATGGCTGAATTACATGTGTCCACAAAGCTTTAACAGTTGTGTGTGCTGTCTGGTCATGTGTGGGTATGGCCCAAAATAACTTGGTGAAAAGGTCAGTTGCAACAAGGATGTTTTGGTATGTGTCTACTGAGGGTCAAAAAATCTAAACCTATGACCTCTAGGGGGTAGGATACAGCAATAGGTTTTAGTGGGGCCTTTGGTTCTACCCTTACCTTTTGCAGACTGCAGGTGACACAACCCTGATGGAACCGACGTACCTCCCCCTCCATGTTAGGCAAGTAGAAGTGCTGACGCATCCTGGGGAGGGTCCTGTCCACACCAGCATGGGCAGCAGCTTTGTGGAATTTCTCCCAGACTTCCTGGTACCTGGAGCTTGGACACACAATCTGGTAGTGTACTTCATGGGTGTGCTGGTCAATCATCTTACGACACAGTTTATTTTCCTTGACTTGCAATTTCTTCCATTGCTGCAATATTTTCTGTGTTTTGCAGGACAAGGCCTGGTGTTCAGGTCCTTTGGGTGCCAGACGGTTTTCCACATACCTCCTAACTGTCTGGATGTCGGGGTCATTACCTTGTGCCTCCTCCGAGTCACTGCTGGCAAACTCATCCTGTCCTCCAGGTGTTAACTCTATGGCTTCTGTGTCTTATAACACCCTCCTCGTCTGGAGCCCTAGAAGACAAGGAGGCAACTGGGCATCTTGATAATGCGTCTGCATTAGCGTTGCTCTTACCCGAGCAAAACTTTATTTCGTAGTTGAAAGAGGCAAGTTGTGCAACCCAGCGCTGTTCTACGGCACCCAGACGAGCCGTCTATAGATGAGCAACAGGGTTATTGTCAGTAAAAACAGTGATTTGCGCCCCAGTTAGGTAGTCCTTGAATTTCTCTGTCACTGCCCACTTCAGGGCCAACAGTTCAAGCTTGAATGAGCTGTAGTTGGCATCGTTCCGTTCAGTAGGGTGTAGGCTGCGGCTGGCATAGGCTATCACTCGCTCTTGCCCCTCTTGCACTTGGGACAGAACTGCTCCTAAGCCTTGGTTGCTGGCATCTGTGTAGACTATAAATGGCAAGGAATAGTCTGCATATGCCAAAAGAGGTGCTTGCGTCAGTGCAGTCTTTAATGCATCAAATGCTGTTTGACACTCAGAGGACCACTGTACTTTACGTGTCTGTGATTTCTTATCAGCTGGGATGCCTGTCAGTAGAGTGTTCAAGGGGCGGGCAATTTTAGCAAAACCAGCAACAAAGCGTCTGTAATAACCAGCAAGTCCTAAAAAGGCTCTTGCCTTACGGTGGAGGGTACTGGCCAGTCGAGTACAGCTGTTACTTTGTCAGGGACAGGTCTTACCCCATCCTTGTCCACCAAATGGCCCAAAAACGTCACCTCGTGTTGGAGGAGCTTACATTTGTCCAGCCGTAGTTTCAATCCATACTGCCACAGCCTTTGGAAAGCCTCATCCAAATGCTGCAGGTGAGAGGAGAAATCAGGTGAGTAAATGATAATGTCATCCAAGTACACTAAAAGGGACTGCCAATGGACCACTTAAACACTGTTGCATCAACCGTTGGAATGTTGCAGGCGCATTACAAAGTCCAAAGGGCATTCGCTCAAACTCAAACAGGCCAAGTGGGGTAGAAAAAAGCAGTTTTCTCCCGGTCTTGGGGATCCATCTCAACCTGCCAGTAGCCGCTGGCCAGGTCAAGAGTTGTGAACCACTCCGCTCGGGTCAGGTTAGTGAGAGTCTCTTCAATCCTGGGCAGAGCTGGCATCTTTATGGCTTAGAGGTGCCCAGTACGTCGACCGTGGGCGACCGGTCGACCGCGGGGTCAATGCTGGTAGATCGCGAGTCATTCATAAAAAAAAAAATCCTGTTCCGTTAAAATAGACAGGTTTTGACCCCTCCTCCCTTGGCCTCCCTGCCACTTAATTCAGGAGTTTACTTGATTGACAGAAAAAGCGACCTATCGCTTTCCAGTCTGTTAACCCAGAATGCAAAGCTATACAAAATCAGTCAAGTGCCGGGAAAACTCAAATTAAGTTAAAGAGACAAACAAGAGACAAACAACAAAATTAGTGCGGGACCGAGCAAAAAGCTAAAGACAAACCACTTCCACCCAGAATGGGAGGAAGAATATTTGTTTGTGATGTCACATTCAAAGGTTATTTGCCTTATTTGTAAAGCAAGCGTCGCTCTGCCAAAGAAAGGTAACGTGGAGAGGCATTATCGGAGCGTTCACAAGGCATATGACAGCGACTTCCCTCCGAGTAGCGAGTTGAGAAAGAGAAAGGTCATGTATTATTGCTACACAAATATTATCTCGCAATCTTAGTGTCGCCAACTCGTTTCTAACATGCAAAAAGACAAACAAATGTCGGTGTATTTTCGATCTTTCCAATCGAGACGAGATCTCTCTCCCCCGTCTGTGTGCGAGGGGGCGGGGCAGTTTACACACACGCGGCTGCTACAAGCAGCAACACACGGAGGAGATGGCGGAGAGAAGCGCTCCAAGGGCAAGGTGTGGTTAAATGTTACCCGTCTTGAGGTGGACAATGCTCCTTGCCAAGAGAGTTCAGCATGTGAGGGCGGTAACACGAGCAATGTGTCTAAACATTTAGCAAAAGTGCACCACATCCAGACGGAGGAATGCACCGGGTTCGACTGTCTTTCTAGCAGCTCTGCAGCCCCATCCACGAGTAACGTTTCCACGTCAGGTGTTATGTATGCTAGCAGCAACACACGAGTTAACTCAATGATTCAAACATGGGTTAATGATTATAGGAAACTGAGTTACTCTTTATTTTGTTAAAGTTTCAGCTATTCTGTTCACAGTTCTGTCATCAGATTATTTAATACGATGTGTTAAAACATTGTTGTTTCTTTTGATGTGAAATATTATTTATTTTATTTAAATAAAAAGCAATGTTAGTTTTGTTCACAATTTGTTAATTTAATAATATATGTATTTTTGAATCAAGTATTCATCTTTATTGTCTTCATTGTTAAACATGCCTAAAACAACCTCAAGCTAAATCTAAAAGTTGATGGCTAAACAAGAGGGTTTGAGAAATTGTGCAAGGCATACAGTAATAGTCTGAATAGTCGATTAGTCGTTTCATTAATCGATAGATTAATCGATTATCAAATTAGTCGTTTGTTGCAGCCCTATTATCCCATGTATAAATAAAACGTGTTATTCAGCAACCCTTGCAATTTTGGATTTTATTTTTGGTTGGTAGACCTCGGTGAGCTGGTCATTTCAAAAGTAGCTCACCAGCCCAAAAAGTGTGGGCACCCCTGGCTTACAGCATTCAATTTTCTGTAATCAACACAAAATCTCCAACTACCATCTTTTTTCTTTACCAACACTATAGGTGCTGCCCAGGGACTACAGCTCTCCTTAATCACTCCTTTCTCTAGCATTCCGGCAAGTAGAGTCTTAATTTCCTTGTACATCATAGGAGGAAGGGGTCGGTACCTCTCTCTGACAGGTGCTGCACTGCCAGTGTGGATACAGTGCTGTACCAGGTCCGTCCGCCCAAAATCCTCCCCATGTGTGGCGAAAACTTTCTCCCATTTGCGCAGCAGGGTGCTTAGCTCTTCCTGTTGCGGTTCGGACAGATCAAGTCTGTTGGCTAAGTCTCTCACCTCCTTTGGTAATGCCTGTTTTCCATCTGTAGTTGCGGCATCCACCAAGGTCACTTCCACGACACAGTCGTCATCAAGGGACAGGTTCAGGTCACGGGGTCCATGGACATCAACCTCGTCTACATGGTACAGCTTTCCAAGCTTCTGGTACCGACCTATAGACAAGCTATAGGGGTGTGGGTTGTAAACACGTACAGGGACTCTGCCATTTCTCACCACTGCCAGTGTCCTCGCCACTCCCACGTCGCTAGCATCTGGCAGTGCTTCCACCAAGGCACAGTAGTCTGATCCTTTCGGGCCCATCCGGGCACGACCCCACACCAGCAGCTCACTCTTTGGAGGGACTACAATGTTGTGTCGGCCAGCCGGCCGCACATATCCAAGGAGCCCGTCTTCTGCCATGGTGGCCTCGACACGTCGACAGCTGGCAAAGGCATCTCTCCAAACTCTGTTGTTCAACTGTGGTGGGGGGAAAGCAGACTTTCCGGGCCATTTGAAGAGGGCATTCCAACAGGCAGTTGCAACATTCATACCAATGATGAGCGGGTGTGTGCAGTGTTCATCCTTTACTATCACAATCCCCCGCCCTGGTATCTTAACACCTTCAACTTCCATATCCAACACAGCATAGCTAGTGTAAGGAATCTCAAGGCCACTGGCAGCTCTCAACTTAAAAACTACAGGGGTCTTCCCAAGCTTAGCCTGGTTAATAATAATAATTCCTTACATTTATTATAGCGCTTTTCCAGATGCTCAAAGTGCTTTACAAATACACATTACATATATTTGGTTGAAATGCTTCTCAAACAAACTCTGTTGCATTAATGTTACTTGAGACCCCGTATCTAGTAGTCCTTGTAGCTTTACCTCTTCAATGGATACAACAATTGTTGGACATTGCCCAATAAATGTGTCAGTGGCCCTTGATTCTTCTGGTGGATTAGCAAGCCCTGCCCCTCGGACCTCAGCAGCAGGGAATGCTAGTTTTAAAGCTGACTCGGGGGCAGCTGGAGTCCTACAAAACTTTGCAATGTGCCCGGACTGTTTGCATTGACGGCAGATAGGCCTACCATGCTCATCCCAGTTGTTAGATTGTGATGTTGGTTGTCGTCGCTCTCGCCAAGGCTGAGTTGGTGGTGGGGGTACAGCAGTGACTGGTTGAAGAAGTGGTTTGATTTCCTTCATCAGCTCCTGTGCGAGTCCTTGCATCTGGGATTTCACATCATCCATGATCTCTCTCTTCAGTGTCTCTTTCCAGCCTTCTGCCTGCGGCTGGTTAGGGGGGACTTGTGAGCCACTAACCAAATGGCATGTTCCCTCTGGTTGAGATCTGCCATATTCAGCCTCGAGCAGTAGCGCTTCCTGGCGTATTGCAGCAAAGCCCTCATCAGGGTTTCGCTGGGCGTATACCTTCAGGGCCTGGGCTAGAGGGCCTTCACACAGCCCGAGCAAGAGCTGGTCCCGCAGGGCGACATCGGAGGGGGCGTCACGTGGGTTGTGCTGCCGCAGCCTGCAACATAGTTCTCTCAACCTTAGAATAAAGGATGGCACTGTCTCATTTGGTTTCTGTAAAGAGCTAAAGAATTGTGACCTCAACACTGGGGTAGGGGTTCTATCGCCATAAAGGGAATCTAAATAACAAAATATCTGGCGGACCTCATTCTTCTCATTGTCCTCAAGGACACTCACCTGGCGTTTAGCTTCCCCAGCAAGCGCTCCCAACACAATACCAACTTTACTAGCTTCAGCTAATTCTTGTGAGCCCAACAAACCTTGCATTTGTGCCTTCCAATCTTGGTATTTTAAGTCATCACCTGACCCATTGAATTTAGGGAGCCAAGGGGCACCGGGATACACAGGCATCATCATGGTTAAAAACAAAAATGTGCTTAAAAGCTATGCTAAAAATGGTGCTAAAACTATGATACAAGCTAGGCTCCTGATTACCACAGCTGCTCTCAAACCCAATCCTGCCGACAACGCCACTTTATGTAAAGGAGGGGGAGGGGGAATAATTAATAATAATGATAATAATAAACACACACACTTAAAACCAGGCAATAATTAAAATACATTGCCATGTGACATAAACATCTGAAAAACTGTACATGAGGACAACATGTAGAGGTTAGGTGGAGATGTTCTTATTGACCTGTGACCTGCAGCTCTCTCTGATTGTATGCAGACCTTAGTGTGTGTTTAAGAGTATCTGTAAAAGTCTGGAAGCACTTCCAGAACACATGCAGGCAGACTGATGCATGATGTTTAAGGCTATCGAGACATGTGTTAATGCAGCTGACTGTTAGTGTTTTGACTGTTATACATAGTGAAGAGTTTGCACATTTCTTTGTTTGTCTTTTAATTTTTCGGTCTTGAGCATTTTGGGTGTCCTTGCAGTCCTGCAGAAGGTGAGAGTGGGACACACACCGCCCTTACTGTAGTCAGCACAGAGGATCAAATATCACACTGTAAAGATGACTGAACAATGTAGCTTTCTAGATAGTGAATAGACATTGGAGATTTAAAGGGTGAATTATAAGTAATTGTTAAAAGAGGAAGCCCTCTTAATTATGTATACTATAATAACGTTTTTTGAGGGAAATGTGGCATCTATCTGAACCATCATCAGTAGATAAGTTGTTTGATTTGATATCTTTGTCTTAAGATCCCCTTGGGTAACTGTATTCTGTTATCTTTCATATTTAAATAGAAATAGAAAATCTACGTGTGTGCTTGTACATCTCGTACTACATTTCAGTTTTACATAGTAGTTGTTTAAACTTACTTTATTGAAGCAGTACATGAATGTGTCAGCAGGGAGCTCTGTTGCACTCACGTTTCTCTGCTCAACATGTCAGGTTGTGTGACCTCTGCAAAAACATTTAAGCTCTCACTTGTTGGCCTTTTTCATACAAGGTGGCTTTTTTTGCCCCTTTATTGTGTTTTTTAAGACCTAAACAAAAACTGCTTTCACCGAGAATGAGTTACACAGTCACTTTAAGAATAAAGCCTATAAAAGCTTTCAGAACATTGTGCCAGAGCGCTGAAGGAGAGCCTCTGAATTCCCTTTGTCAGGCTGCTTTACTTGTGTAAGCTATTTTCTACATGTGTGTGCTTGTTAGGAAGAGTACGCACAGGTATCCCTTGGAAATACTGTCAGGTGTCCGGGGAGTTCAGTTGTCGTGGATGCAGTCTCTCTTCAGTCAGCCAGAAAGGACCAACACCCGGCAGAGAAACACGACATCCTCGCTTCCACATCAGGTAAGTAAATAACACAAGATTTATTTGTAATAATAAAACTTGCCTTTGCATTACAGTGAATGTGTTTGTGTGTGGGATAGCTTTTATCTATGCGTTTCAGTGGCCTCAGAGCAACACCTGACTGATAAACAACTGCAATATTGGGTAAAGATTTTGGTGACGCCCATGTCTTTAATGTGTTATAAACACACTTATTGTTTGCTCCAAGTTGTGAAAAAAGTTCATACTTAACCTAAGAACAACACACAAACCGTTGTTGTGAAATGAATGTATTTGCTTAAATCTTAACAGAGATTGAGTAAAACTGAATGATCAGCATAAACAGTTTGCTGATGTAATGTTTCCTCATGTCTTAAGACTCAAACATATATGTATAAAGCATTGTTGACATGGGCGTCAGAGAAGGTGTTTTCCAATCTTGTTTTGACTGTTATTGATTTACATGGCTACGTAGGAAAGAGTAGCCAAGAGAAAGCATGTATATTTGTATTTGTTTCTATTTTTTTTGCAGGTGTATCAATTTGAATTTGCAGACGTACGGTCTAACCCCCCCATGGCGGGCCTGGCAGCTCTGTGTCTGCTGCTGGTGTTTCCACTGAGCCACTCCCAGAACACCCTGCAGTCGCAGCAGGAGGTCGACTCCCATCAGGGAGCGCCTCCTTCTCCTCCTCAGCGATACATAATGAACCTGCTCAGGAAAGAGGAAGCTACTCATTTAAACGCAAAGCAGACATGTAAGTGGAAAAATAAATAATGTTGTTAAGTAGAACTGGATCTATGGAGTCCCTGAGAGGCAAGGGGTGATTAATTTTAATTAATTTTCCAGTTTTAAGTCTTATTTAAATGTTTTCTCCTCTGTATTTGACTTAAAACAGGTGGAGATGTTTATGCAAGGATAGTTTCCTTAAGTCTCTTAAACTAACCAGAACAATAATATCTGAAACTGTTGGAAAAGTTAACCAGGATCATTTTATTATTTATTTATTATTTATAACAAAAATCTGGTGGGAAAAACAGTTTTGAGAGGTTTTTAGTGTCAGAAAATGTTTGTATTAATACAAAAGAGACACAAGAGGATACACCACTATCCCATGTTCTAAAGATGATGGAAAATAAGTGTTATCTTCCAGGTGAGCTAACATTTCTCCATGATTACAGCAACACTTTTATTTTTACCATGCATACATATTTCTCACCTGCTTTACAGAATAATCTGCTTTTGGGAACTATAGACAGATTATAATGTTATCACCTTTTCCCCACATCTTCTTAAACACAGACTTAGAGAATGGATCACAATTAAAAATGGCTCAATGACTCTGATGGTCTTTGTGCCTCCACAGATGTCCAGGTAGAACAAGACAATGCCAAAGTGGGTCTGTTCGTCGCTGCAGCCGTAGGAACCTTCGCTCTGATGGCTGCTGTGTACTGTATCTACAACAAGTTCTACTCCAAACACCAGTACCTGCACACCCAGCTCAACGATGACTCAGGTAGATTAATACATTTTGTATATTAAATTATAATTGCATTAGCGCCTCTTTCAGTCTCACACTTGAGGCAACGGCAGCAGTATGGCATCACATTGGATTGCCCGGAGGGACTGTCAGAAATCTGTAAGGTTGTAAAAATACACACGTCTAATCTGCCTTCAAAGAAACACTACAACAGAGAAAGCTGAAACAAAAGTGACGGCAAGGAGTATAGAAACTTCTATCACGGGGTAATAAAAGGAAGCTAAAACACAGACAGTTTCTCCGTCAGCAGACAGAGAGAGACTTCCATCCAGAGAGACAACTGGACTTCTGATCTTTTTACTCTCCTGTCTCTTGGGAGTCATTTGATGAAAAGCATCCGGCCTTGTTATTAAACACGAGCAGGCTGTGTCGTATTTATTTAAATAACTTCTTATTACTGAAATTCCTGCTTAATGCTTTTTATAGTAAAGGAATCAATTATCTTGCATAATGAAGCTTTCATATTAGAAATGTGTGTATACACGGTAGATATAAATACAGTTACATAATTGATCATAATGTTTTTATAAAGCTGTTTATGGTTCTATAACCTGTGATTTATTTATATATACTAAAAACACATTAAAGGGGACCAATTATGCTTTTGGGGTTTTCACTTTCCTGTAGTGTGTTATATAGGCCAAAATCCCTGTGTTCCCTCCGAAGGGAGTTTCTCTCCCACACTTGTTAGATATCATATGTAACACTTACAATTCTATTGGTTAGCGCTCCAACATATTGTACATTGCTGGTCATCTCTAAGCGGTTGACCAATCACAACAGAGCCGGCCAGCTAACCAATCAGAGCAGACTGGGCTCTGGTTTCAGACAGAGGGTGAAAAGAGGTGCTGCAGCACAGGCAGTATGAGAAAAAGAAAGAGCTTTTTGAACATTAAAGCATGGAGACATGTCACAGTAGAGACACTACACACTGATATGAACCTGAAACTATGTGCTCTGTATCTGTCAAGTGACTATCCTCAAGTATCTATCTGCAGATTTCAGCACAGACCCCATGGACACTCCCCCCGTGTGTTTCCACGCCTCCGCCGGCTCCAGTGCGGTAGACGTGCAGAGAGCTGGTTACGGCTCGCTCTCAGACACTCCATCCATCATCTCTGTGCCACCCAGCCTGTCCCCCCCTCCCTCTGCCATGCCCTTCCCTCCCCTCTTCCTCCCCTCTCACTCTCTGAGAACTATATCAGCCAAGGACCTGGAGAAGAGCTGTGCCTAATGTAAAAAATTAGAAACTAAGCTAGTGAAACTTTTTCTAATAAGAAAAGAGAAGTAGTTGTTTAGAAATTTGTATCACAATAACTAAACACATCAGATCAATTTGAAGTTTACATGCTAATGGCTTTGCACATACATCCCTAGACAAGAAGTTACATGTAAACTGTAGTCACCTCCTGACCGGCTGCCCTTTCACTCATAACCACCCTCAAATCTGCTCGTACATTTACACAGCTAAACTACATTATTCTTGCGACCTATCTGACACCACCCATCCTTTGTCCTACCGGAACAAATAAACTGTCCAGAGAGGAAATAAATGTTGTCTTATTTCTACATTTTATGGTGAATAATTAAAGTTCTAGTGACATATAGTATCAGATTAAAATAATGTGTTGCTATAGCATAAACAGTGACTCCATTCTATGTAGGTGTCCCAAAGTGTCTTAAGTGAAAAAGGCCTTTTGACTGTTTCTTTTATTGACATTAATTCAAAACCATAACAACACAAAACAAAGTCAACACCATGTGACTTAATCTGTAAAAATAAAAACACACTTGTGCTCACATTTCCATGCAATGAATAAAAAAAACAAGTCATGCACACAGTCACATTTTGTAAACATGGTGAAATATGTACAATCTCAATGCACTCTTGATAGGTAACTGTAATTTAAATTGTGGTATTAAAAAGTGTAATCCTGAAATGTAACCTTTTAAAGGTGGGGTAGGTAATTTTGGAGAAACCGGCTCGAGTGCGCTAGAATTTGAAAATACACAGCCGGAAAAAATCTGCCACTTCCTTTCAGAGCCCCTCCTCCAACACACACGAACGCGCACATGACCAATGAGGGCACGAGATAAATTTGTGCACAGATGGAAGGCTGACAGGCAGGTAGGCCATCCAGTTATGATTGGTCGTGCTTTTTACAGTACTACGGCTTCCACAGATGACGTTTTTTTAAATGGATTTTTTGTCAAAGCACTTAAGATATTCATTGCTATCGGGATGTTAAGAGCATTCCATGGAATATAACAAAAAGTGTTTCTCGAGCCGGTTTCTCAAATGTACCTACCCCACCTTTAATACATTTTATTCTGAGGTAATGTAATCTCTGAGAAAACAGAAATTTAGATTTTTAGGATAAAGTGTTTTATGACCCTGCATGATGTTAGGGGGAATAGAATCAAAGTGATTTTACTTATATACGGTAAATAGCCTTTATACAGTAAATAGCCTTTTGGTCAATTTTTTACCACAAGTGTTTAAGATTTTCACATGTTCATACTGCAATATAAAAGAGAGCTTTTCAGTTTAATATTTGACTTTAAAAGAAAGTCACTGTTATAAACTCAAATTAAGATGAAAATGTGAAACCACAGTGTTTGTAACATGTCGTTTTTTCTTTTACTGTGGAATTGCTAGTCTTTCCATAATTTATTATAATTGTTTATACGTAGCTCAGGTCATTAAATAATCCACAGCCCATCCCAGAAGCGTCAGACTGTCCCGGGAGCAGCCTGCCCCTCCCCTCTTATAAATATGGGAACTCTGGTTATATGCTTCGATCGGACCATGTTTACTCTAACTCTCCAGCCGAAGCTTCAGCAGGTCCCAGAATAGCCTTCTCTTGAACAGTAGGTACTTAAAACGGCCGGCTGCGAGGAAGGAAGTGACATGCTATCTCACTACACACACTTGGAGAGATTAGCGTGCGGGCAGCGGTAATCTGGTTTCAGGACCACGGCCAGAGGCACCGTTTTACCACGAATCCTGTCAGAAGTTTCGTGAAAAACCATTTAAGGAGCAAGTGAAGAAGTTCATTTGGACCTTAAGGACTCTTACAAACTGGGATTGAGAATGTTTGCTCGGTTAATTTTAGTTGAAGCAGATTAAATCTCAGTAACCCTGATTTACAGATTCCGCTACACAGGAAACTGCAAGTAATCAATTAGAAATAAGTAGTTATTTTTGTTATATGTGAGTGAGAAACACGGGGCGGAGGTAGTAGAGGAGAAGGCTGTGCGCTCAATCGGGAGCGCGCAAAGAGTGCACATTGGTCGGATCCTGGAGGCGTGAGGATGGAGATCCGACCGGACAGGTTCAAGATTGTTGCAGCCAAGACTCTCGGGAAAATATACGGGTATGTAAAAGAAAAATCTCTGGGAGAAATGACATCCAGAAACTGTTGAAACGATTCATGTGTAATTTTCTTGTCACGTCAAAAGGAAAGTGTATCTTATTGAAATACATTTAAGATGCATTAAGGGCGATTTTATTAATATTATTTGTCTTACAAGAGAGCAGAAGTGCTATTAGAAAATCAATGTTTCCCGAGGCCTGGATTAGAGTGGTGTTGGATGACCTGGCACAACATCTGTCCCTCTATAGGTTCCTGAATCTGTCACATAAGAAACTCGCATGAATAATTTAGCACTTTAACTGCAGTCGTGCAGAAGCTGTTGTATATATAAAATACGTACACACACATGCTTTTAAAACCTCAAATGAATCCTTGTCTTCTTTACTTCTGTGGAACAAATAAACAGAATTAAGTTTCATTTTAGGCCAAAACTGTTCTGTATGTGTAAGATGAGGCGTTGGATCAATAGCTGGATTCATGGAATTTTCTGCTGTGTTGTCACCTTTTTAAATTATGGAAGCCATGCTGTTTTGTCTGGCAGTGTGTTTCAGTTCCATTGTACTCAAAGTATGTTTGACATGTTACATTTACTGAGAGTATTAAACAGGCATGATCTGAGGCCTGTTATGCTGTCTCGGTATAAACTTAAGAGGACCTTGAATCCTGCACTCTAAAGTATGGAAGCCTGTTTGCGCCACAGGAAAAAAATATCAAAATCCTGTAAATCAATATATTGACTTAGCTATCTCAATATATTGACTTAGCTATCTCAATATATTGACTTACTATCTCAATATATTGACTTAGCTATCTCAATATATTGAATTATATATTTTTTTTTTATTGAAACAAGTATGTCAAATACAGAATAAGGCACATAGACATCAATGTTCATCATATAAGCGGTCCAACTTCATATTAAGGTACACAAATTCACCATCAACTAGTTGTTAATTAACATGCATATTAGCAGTATATTGGCTCTTTATTAGTCATTATAAAACACTTATTAATGCCGTATTCTACATGACCATATTCTACAAGTAATCTGTATATGTTGCACTTGCATGTATGAGATCATTAAGTGCCTTGTAACTTCTTTTTGTATAGTTTAGCTCCGTTTGAATGTCAGTGGACTGCAAATAAGTCAATAAAGGAGAATGGCTGCTCATTCCCTGGCTCTCAAAAGAGTTTGGCTGTTTAATCTATGTTCACACTGAGACAGTACAACACAAAGAGAGAACAGTACACCTATTGTGTAAGTACATACAAGCAGGTCACACAGTATATAAAATATACAAATAAATAAACTCTGTTAAAAATCAGTATTATTAAAACGTACAGGCTGCTTGTGTTTTCTCAGCCTTGGAGAAACTTGACATGTTTTGGTATGTGTCTGAACCTCTCTTTAGTGGTTCATTAATAAAACAGATATTTCAACGTGAGCCCTTTGTTCATGTGCTGTTGAGGTTAATTTCAGTTGTGTGCGATAATGTATTTACGAAGAGGAGGCAACTTTAGAATAGGGAACCTGTTCAGGTCAATTAGAGTCAAATTACTAGTTTATTGGTTATGAACAAGACTTCACTTTAAAATAGGGAACATATTCTTAGATAGAAATACCTAATTTTGAGTTATTTAGACATATTGAGGAAAGCATATTAAGACCAAAGCTCATGTACAACAACTTCCTTACTTGCAATAAATAAGCCCTAGGGTTATTGAGGAAAAACTCTCAACTAATGGCCTATTACTTGTAGAATCTGGTCATGTAGAATAAGGCATTAATAAGTGTTTTATAATGACTAATAAAGAGCCAATATACTGCTAATATGCATGTTAATTATCAACTAGTTGATGGTGAATTTGTGTACCTTAATATAAAGTTGTACCGCTTATATGATGAACATTGATGTCTATGTGCCTTATTCTGTATTTGACATTGTTTCAATAAAAAAAATATATACAACTCAATATAATGAGATAGCTAAGTCAATATAATGAGATTGTAAGTCAATATATTTAGATAGCTAAATCAATATATTGACTTACAGGATTTCTTTTTTTTTTCCTGTGGTGCAAACAGGCTTTCATACTGAAGGCTCAAACTTTCCCAAGCAGAGCATTACAGCTTGTGATGGTGGACTTCCTGGGGTCATGGTGGACCAGGAAAGGTCAAACATTGACATTATATGACATTTAAGAGTCACAAGCCTCATTCACAAATAATTAAAGTGTGCTTTTTAGAGCTTAAACAGCTCTTAAACAAATCATTTTGGCAATAAACATGCACTTGACGTTGCCAGCTAAGAACAAAGTGTGTGAGTCAGTCAGGAGTCTGAATGAAGGCTATCTAAAGGTATTGATAAACTCCTCTTTCCTTCTCTCGGGATTGCATGTAGTGTCTAAACACTTAAATCCTCTCCAAGAATAGCCTCTGCTCGTCCAAGCTGTCGGCCCACGTAAATCCCTGCAGGCCGTATACCTTAAAACACCTCTCTCCTTCTCCCGTTAAGTAGCCCGATAGCTCGTCATCGGCTCCCTTCCCCCCCTCTGGGCACCTCACAGCCGGGATTAGGCCTCTCTAACCACGGCACAGAGCCCGCAGCGGCCTATAAGCTTTCATTTCCGTAGTGCGCACGTGCTCCCAGGTGCTCCCATAGCTCTGCCGTGCGTAACGAGCACCGGCCCGCGCCCCGGTGCTGTTGTCCGCACGCGACATGCTGCTTAACGGCAGAGCAAGCATGCATGGGTCTGTAGAGTTTAAGATGTGTGTTTTTATTCTATAAGAACTTTTAAAAACGTGTTGTTATCTTTGCTTATTGATGGTTGTGTTTTATTATAGTTCGATATTCATAATCTCTTATTTGTTGGGTCTATTCATTTCTTTGTCTGTTTTTAAATCTCTCTGCCCTTTTCTAAACTATGCTATTTTCCTTTCTATTGAGAAAAGCCTAATAAAATGCCTTGTCTTGTCCAACCAGCAAATGTTCCCATTAGAGTCTTAAAACAAGTGGATTTTTTACATATAAATAACCCAAACTATGAATCTGTTATCAAAATAGTTCCTGACTTACTAATGGATTCATGGATTTATCAATGCCGGTCTGATCTATATTTAGATATGTATAAATACATTCCTTCCTATTCCTCTCTCTGCTTCCAGCCACTGATGTCTGCGTCTGATCAGTAAGAATGGTTCAAATATGTTTTTAATGAGGTTCCTCAGTGGTTCTACAGGACAGTATTCTTTAAATTAAATTCAGATGTAATGCAAATGACCTCCTCTTGTGTCACCATAGTGATTGTAACAGTGCACAGTTGGTATTATAACAATTGAGGTTCAGCAGGTCCTTCGTAGTAGTGTCAGGAGGAGCTTATCAACCACTCATACAATGTCCACCGGTTATTTGACTCCTTTTATCCGATCAATGATGCCAAGCTGTTGACTCAGCTGTGAACCGAGCTGTGTCCTTGACGTATGAATTAAGAGATTAGTTTGGACAGGGAACCAGGAATACAACCTTAGCAGAATAGATCGAGGAAAATTCAGCTTTCTTATGTGCTATCAAGATAAACACTAAGCCATTTCTTCTGGTTCACCAGACACTTCCTCAACGTGGTGTGATGAGTAGTTAGGTGGCTTGTGAGGATTACAACGGATTTCCTTAACTCGGTCAGTCGTGAATTTGTCACTGCGGGCAGATTAGGTGTATTTGAAGAAAAAAAGTGAATACAGGCATGTGCATTTTGGTTATTGTATTGCAGAGAATGAAAAGTCAAGGTGGACATCCTCTGGATACTGAGAAATAAATTGGTGTTGAAGAAAAAGGGAATGTTGCGAATTGTGTGAGACAATGTGTGAGTCAGGGGAGTTGACGATGAAAGGCAGGGTTAAAAAATCGAGGAGACAGGAAGAATGAAGCCCTCACAGACAAAAATAGTCCAAGAGAGCCAGAGATATTAATAATTCAAGAGTGAGAAATCATAAATACTTGATCAGTGTCGGAGACTTTAAGAATCTCTGTTTACAATAACTCATAATATTACATGTATATTTTATATTTGTGTGGCTGTTTTGCTTACTCTTGTTGACAATTCTTTTAGGTGACAGCTCTAAAAAGCTTTATTGGAAAGAATATTCTTTTTGTCACTCAATATTTTAGTGTCATCTTTAAGTCTCTGTGGGAAGCACATCTTGTGAAGCCAGAGAGCTGCAATGACGACTTTATAAAGATCAGCCGGTGCTTTTCTTACCCTGGTATTTCACAATTGAGATTGTCCTCGTCCCTGGTGATTTGATAGAGCGGTGACATTACGGTTAAGGACAGGGGATCGTTAGAAAACGCAGAGGAACAAAGTCTCGCAGCGGAGAGAATAAACCTTCAGTCTGAATTAGTCAGAAAGGCCAACATTAAGCAGGATGTAGGAAATTAGTGTGGATGTTTTTGCACAAACAAATGATTTTCAGGTGCGTGTGGGCCCAGTGGTGAACAGCTTAAATCTCTGCACCTTCAAACATTCAATGGTAAATAAATATATATGGGAGTTTGCTAGTTTTCCTTCCAGAAGCTGTCAAAGGGGACAGTCCTCCCAGAATATTGATTTTTTTGCCTGCATTGCTATTTATTAATCTATCTTGTTGTGGGCAGATTTATGTAGGAACTATTTTCTTTCTATTGATGTACACCCACCTACAGTATGACCTACTCATGAGGGCATCTTGCTCATTTGTTGATGGATGTAGTTTGGTAGAAAGAATATTTTTCCTACATGAAACTCCTCATGGGAAGATCTGTGGTCATGCCGGTCATGCTTTCTGGACTGTTCCTTTAAGAACTATGACTAGCTGCTCACACACACACACACACACACACACACACACACACACACACACACACACACACACACACACACACACACACACACACACACACACACACACACACACACACACACACACCTCTCATATTGAACCATGAAGCTTTCAAAGTGTTAACTTGGTTGGTTAGGATCTTTGCCCTGAAGCATATTTTCTGTGATCAATGCAACTCCATTTACCCATGATACTTCAAACAACAGACCAGGTATCCAATATGGCGGCCGATTCAACCCAATACAAGCTGCTTCCCCAGCACACAAACAAAGAAGTTATCTATTACTTCTATGCCTGCTGACTCTGATTGTTCCACACACATTCATTTCCTAGAAATCGCTGAGTTGGCTTTAGGTATACTTTGTTTATCTGTTTGTCAGCAGGGTTACAAGGCACTGACCAGATATCTTTGTTTTGTAGGCTATTTATTCAATTGCATACACTGTCCATGGCAGCTTGATTTCCTTTTATCCCTGGGGCACTTATACATATTTCTAAGTGTGTACATGCTCTTCCATTTACAGTATTGACTGTCAACCTTACAATGATAAATGTTCAAAATGGCCACTGTGGTTCAGTTCTAGCCCAGGATCTCAGTCTTATTTTCTCTCCTGTCATATAAAGTAATCTATAAAAGAAACTTCCCCATCCCCCAGTCCAGGCATTATTCATGCTCTGCACTGTTGGGTCTTGTATTTTGACTAAAAGCTGCAGGGCTGAATGGACTAATACGTACTCCCATGTACTGTATTCATCTCTCACGGAGGTCATGAATTACATTTACCAGACAAAAGCAGGAAGGATATTTGCCTTTTTACTTAATATGTCGGTAGGAAAAGCTAAATATGTATAATAAATAGAGGCGTGATATAAAGGGGGCTCTGTGCTCCAGCATCTGGACCTGCAGCGCTGTAGCCTGATCTGAAAACACAGCATTGCACATGTCATGTTTAATAGATGACCCGCTGCGTTTAGATACATATTTGATGCCCGAAAGACTGCAGGCTGGAAGAGGTCATGGTTTCTCAGGGTTTCTCAGAAAGCCATATCAACATAGGTTTATGGACGGGGGCAGAACAAGAGTAATGTGTTAACCTTGTTTGGAAGGAGAGCAGGAGCACCGGACTGTGGTTTTTTATACCCACACTGTATTCCTCCCTGTCAGCTGGTTCTGGTGAAGATGAATGTCTGCAATACAAAAACACCCGATATATTAACGCCCAGAGAAGACAGGATAAGTCAAAGTTATGACAGCTAGCCGCAGTGGCGGTGGGCTGACAGCTAACTGTGCTGACGGTCTCTTGTTAAGGTGCTAGAGATACCGGTCAAATTGACAGTGAGAACGATTGTGTGAACATCTTTTATCTTCCCAATATGTCAGTCTGCAAGCCCTTCAGAACAGGATCTGTTTCACAACCTTGGCTGGCTCACTGGCTGATAGATTCTCAAAAATAAATGTAAGATAAGATAAGATGGACCTTTATTAATCCCCGTGGGGAAATTCAGTTGTTCAAACAGCAACAGGGAAAGGGTGAAAACACAGGATAGCACAGATTCACACAGATTAATAAAATCAAAAATAAGATCAAAGATACAAAATCAAAATAATAATAATGAGAAACTATGAAATAAGAAATGAATACATACAAATAAAAATGAGCATATACATATTGGGTCTTATAAACTATGAATGAAAATGAAAATGGACATATATACAAATTGGGTCATATGTTAACAATATTACATACATAAGCTTACATACATATATTACATATTATATATATTAACATGGGTGTCTGGAAACAGTGTGAATTTATGTCCAGTGATTGTTCACATTATTGACCCCTTGTCTGTCGAGCTTCCTCCTCGTCCTCCCCTCTGCCACCTCCTCCAGATTGTCCGGTTGTACTCCAACTACAGAGCTAGCCTTCCTCACGAGCTTGTTCAGCCTGCCAGTGTCCCTAGTGTTTGTGTTTCCACCCCAGCACACCACGGCAAAGAAGAGCACACTGGCCACCACAGACTGGTAAAACATCTGCAGCAGCCTCGTGCACACATTGAATGACCTGAGCCTCCTCAGGAAGAACAGCTTGCTCTGTCCCTTCCTGAAGAGAGCATCAGTGTTGTCTGAACAGGAACTTGTAGCTGTTCACCACCTCCACATCCTCCGCCCTGATGGTGATGGGGTATTCAAAGTATTGACATTAAAGAGATAACTAAATGTTACATATTTTCTTTATAAAGGGCTCAATACAGTTATAGTTAGTATAGGCTATTTCCTGGCATTCGAGACACTTTCTTTAGTCGTTTATGTGATATGAAAAAGGCAAACAGTACACTGACAACTGTTGTTTTTCTAATGTGTCTTTTGGTGTGTATTGTCCAGCTCCCTTGAAAGGGACTATACAAAGTCGCAAAAGGTTTGTTTTGAAAACTGATAGGTAGGCCAGACAATCATACCAAACAATCGCAAGCTGACTAAAAATATATGCAACATTTTTGCTAAAAGATTGGACAATTACAATCTGCTTTTTTATCAAAACAGATCATCTTTCACTTCCTTCATTACGGTTTAGTGTATGTTTTATTTCTGGTACAAGACAAAGTGTCCCTCTGGGGTCGAAAACTATAATACTTTACATACATTTCCCACTCACTCCACTTCCTTCTTCACAGAGCTCTTGAGAAGAAGCAGGACAATGGCGAGACCATCGAGCTGTCGACGGAGGGCCGGCCGGAGCTGGTGGAGGAGAAGGAGCTGCCCGTGGTGGACTGCACGTGCTTCGGGCTGCCCAGGCGCTACATCATCGCCATCCTCTCTGGCATCGGCTTCTGCATCTCCTTCGGTATCCGATGTAACTTAGGCGTGGCCATCGTCAGCATGGTCAACAGCCACACCGTCTATAAGGACGACAAAGAGATCATAGTGGTGAGTTAGGGTGGAGAACGTGGGAAGTACACAACAGGCCACAAATAATGTTATATTCCACATTATTACATCTTCCTAGGAGGTCATGTTTATGTTCGGATCAGTTTCTTCTAGGTCGGTTTAAAGAAAAATTACTAACCGATATTTACGAAACTTTGTAGAGTGGTGTAGCACGGGCAAAGAAAGACTTACATTTTTGAGCGGACAAATTCTTTATCTTTCTACGTATTGAACAATGTTTGTGGTAGTCTGTGCACTCGTTGTGCCCTTTTAGTTTATTTATGAGATGAACAAGATGAACATTTGGTGAACACACACGGTTTCTGACCTTTGGCTCTTCTTCTCTGTGTCTTCATAGTATAAAATAGGCCCCTTAATTCAGAAAAAGGACATTTTAACTCTACAGTACACAATTAACTTTTGCGCCTCCATCTTTGTATACTATAGGAAAGGATCTTTCCTGTTTCAAAGTGAGATCTGCTAACAATTGTTTTCAAACTTTACAGTATCAAAACTTTATCAATGTTAACAATCTGTGTTGATTGTGTGAAAGTAAATGTCAAACAAAGGCTCCTCTTGAAGTCTGTCAGTCATTGTTACAGCCATTTGAGTGGAACATCAGAGCACAAGGTTTGACACAGCTAAGATGTGAAGGAATATTGATGATAACTCAGTGGTGGAGCAAAAGTCTCATAGGGAACAGTAATCAATCATGACAGTTGTGTTGTATATTTTAAACAGATTCAAGTACACGTGCAGATAAATCATGTGTTTGTCCCAACAGAAAGCTCAGTTTGACTGGGATCCAGAAACAGTGGGAATGATCCACGGCTCCTTCTTCTGGGGATACATCGTGACCCAAATCCCAGGAGGGTTCATCTGTCAAAAGTTTGCAGCTAACAGGTCTGTTTATCCACCAGTTATGCTCTATAAGGGATATCTATTCATTATCTTATACATATTGAACATACTGACTATTTGTTTCTCCTCCAGAGTGTTTGGCTTTGCAATAGTGGCCACGTCTTGCCTGAATATGCTCATCCCTGCAGCCGCCCGGATGCACTTTGGCTGTGTCATCCTTGTCAGAATATGTCAAGGACTTGTGGAGGTGCTTAACTTTTTAACTTAAATCACAAAAACAAGAAATGACTGAAGACACAGATTTATATTTACATTTTATTTAGAGCATTTGTCACAATGTAATGCCTTCCCTTTCCTGCAGGGGGTTTCATATCCGGCCTGTCACGGTATTTGGGCAAAATGGGCGCCACCTCTTGAAAGAAGTCGTCTGGCTACGACAGCCTTTTGTGGTGAGTCCATTATCAATGAATGGCTGTAATCACTTTAACACAGTAATTGTTAGTTTAAAATAGCCATGATTAGGGAGCAAATGATATAGGATTTCATCGGGGATTGGAATATGAAATGCTCACATAAATTGACAGTGATGCAATACAATTTGTTTCTTAACAAAATGTAGGGCAAAGTGTTTCCAGCAGGTTTTAGTACAGTAAAGTATATTTTAATTATTTGAGCCATGCCTAGCTACAGTTACTATAGAGCTGAAACTATTAGTTCATTATAAGTTTGCCTATTTAATAATACAAATTAATCTGCAACTACAATGATCATCAATAAAATATAATTTTTCAACCAAAAATGCCACCTTAGTTTTAGCTACTCCAATGCTAGTTCAAGTTGTTTTTTTTGCAAGCTGAACTCAAGCATTTTGAAAACACCATTATACTCAATTTTTTTTGACATAAACTGTGAAGGAACAACGTTGACTAATATAAATAAATTGAAGTTGCAGACCTTAACCCAATGTGTCTCTTTTGTTTCTAGGTTCTTACGCTGGTGCTGTGATTGCTATGCCGTTAGCTGGGATCCTGGTCCAGTACTCTGGATGGTCATCAGTTTTCTACGTCTACGGTAAGAGACCTTTGACCTTTTGACCTTGAAATGTACCAATTGTAAACTAGGGCTTCTTCTTTCAGACAAAACTGTAACTTAGAAAAAACTACACAGTTCTTGTAGTGAAATATAGTACAGTGTGTTTGTTGCCATAATACTCAATACAACACAGTTAAAAAATGCTGATTTCAAAAGGTGTGTATGCACACCCATCACTATGCACAACATGCAGTAACACAGTAAATGCTAACACATGTTGACATTTAGAGGACACACAGGCCAGCAACATACATAAGAGAACAAGAGAAAAACATCACCCTTAAAGTATAGATTCAATATGTACAGTCCGTACAGATGCAGCAGCCACAGTCAAGGTGACCTTTCCTGCCAGTTTTGACACTGACATTTCTCCTCCTCTCTTCCCTGCCTGCTGCCTTCCTTCCTTCCTTCTTCCCTCTGCAGGAACTTTTGGGATCATGTGGTATTGCTTCTGGTTCATGGTGTCTTATGAAAGTCCAGCAGCCCACCCCACCATCACTGAGGAGGAGAGAACGTATATTGAGGAGAGCATCGGCCAAACAGCACAATTTGCAGTAACGGTCAGTAGATTACAATATGATGTAAACACTGTGTCACATCACTTTGGCTCACCTTAACAAGAACAGTCCTGCATTGTCTTTTACATTTCCCTCTCTCAATTCAAATAAAACGGCAACCATAGGTTGACAATAATCAAAAGTTGATGGACAGAAAAAAATCTATCTATTTGATAATAGATTCCTCTTGAAAAATGACAGAAATTGGATTTGTTTTGCCTCTCAAATATGGAGATTTCTTGCCTTTCTCTATTATCTGCCATTTTGTAAACCAGGTCCTAAACTAGGAAATTCGTCTTGAAAAACACTGTCAAATTAATTGAAAATTAAAGTAGTAGTTGCAGCTAAACATGTAAATAATTACTAAATACTATGCTTATACTTTTTTGTCTTACTGTATGTATAAGGTTAAAATATGGGCCAGACTGCCTGAACATTTTAACAAAGAGTGTAAAGAAATGTAACAAGCAGAGCAATTTAGGAGTGAGGAAGTGAACCTGGGTGGAGCTTAAGAGGATGTCAGACTTTATCACAAGCTGAAATTCTAAAAATGGTAATGTCAAATGGTAGTTCATCAAATGAAAGCGCAAGGGATATATTAATAAATTCTGTATCTTTGGTAACCTCTGCTCAAGAAATTAAACAATTTACTGCACTCATACTTTTCTTAATAACAATGTTCTGGATTTGTTACCAAAATAACCTAAACAAATAAAGACAAGTAATTGATTCAGCTCAGCAACTGTACATTAACACTATATTTATAGGGTTTAATTTAAAACAACGTGAATTAAGTAACTCATTTTGATGTGTTAACAGAAATTCAACACACCATGGAGGGCCTTCTTTACGTCCATGCCAGTGTACGCCATCATCGTGGCAAATTTCTGCAGAAGTTGGACTTTCTACTTGCTTCTCATCAGCCAGCCTGCATACTTCGAGGAAGTCTTTGGGTTCGAGATTAGCAAGGTAACAGGAACCAAACATTTTTCTTTGAACATGATACAGCTGAGGAAACTCAAAGCTATAGACCATTTGCATAAAAACACATAATTCTTACCCTACTTTCTTAAGGTTGGCCTAGTTTCTGCACTTCCTCACCTGGTGATGACCATTATCGTGCCCATTGGTGGCCAGCTTGCTGACTATCTGCGAACTAACCATATCATGACGACCACTAACGTCAGGAAACTTATGAACTGTGGAGGTAAGAAAGGGCCAAAACAAAGGGAAAGCAAGATTAGAACAACAGAAAGTATTCCAAGATGGCTTACTGCACCTTTTCTACCAAGACATCAACACTGTAGCTTTATTGATCAAAGGTCAACTGGCATTTTTAAGCCTCTAAGCACGCTATTGTTAGTCAGAAAGATGGTTCAGTGAAACTGAAAGACTTCATAGAAACTCATTGGCTAATTCTGGGGTTAACAACAGTTTTGTCAGTCAGCTGTGGTGAGAAAACATTTGCTGCATGTGGGAAATGATGACTCACTGTAAAGCAGAAGCCCTACCTCTGTCGGCTATTTTTGAACTACAGAGAGAAATCAATAGCAAAGTGAAATGGAGAAGCATACAGTGTATGTATCACTTTGTGGGAAGCTGTCAACGCTGGGGAACAGTCAACAACATTTTATAAGAAAAGGGCCTGAAGAAAAATGACTTAAACAAGCACCTTGCCTTAAGACTTTTCTATTAACATTTTAAACTCTGTCTCTGTTTTGTTTCTTTATCTCTTTTATATTTCAGGGTTTGGGATGGAGGCCACCTTTCTGCTGGTGGTGGGATTTTCTCATACAAAAGTTGTGGCCATTTCATTCCTTGTCCTGGCGGTGGGTTTCTCTGGCTTTGCCATCTCAGGTGAAACCATAATTTATTTTTTTCAAATCACATCATTAAAATCCACAACCCCTTCATTTGAGGATGCCTATAAATATTGACGTTTGAAATACTATAAAGTAGAATTAATATAACTTATGTGTTCATAACTTTGACCTATTAGTTTTTGCTCATGTTGTATTTGTCCTTCCTCATAAGGTTTCAATGTCAACCACCTTGACATTGCACCGCGCTATGCTAGCATCCTCATGGGTATTTCCAATGGTGTGGGCACTTTGTCTGGTATGGTTTGCCCCCTTATAGTCGGTGCAATGACGAAGCATAAGGTGAGAGCTTATGTTATAAAATGCATGTCTGCTCTTATGATGTTGTCTGAGGGTGTGATTTTATTGTTACCATGGGATGTTGTGTGCATTTGAACTTGATGTTGCATTTCCTCATTGTGTATACAGTGTGCAGACAGTGCACCACCACCTGAGTTCAGTTTTAAATGATGTTTCTTAAACGGCAGCAGAGGTGTCACTTCCTCAGAATGATTTCATTTAAAATATGTTATTTGAATACCCCGAGATCTGTATCACTGAAGAGGGACCAATATCAATTTAATTTGTGCAATTAGAGTAGTTAAATCTACCCTCTAGGTAGGGTGTTGGAGCATCACGTTTTACTCACCAGGGTAAAAGCTATCCAGGACTTTCATAGAACAAAAGACACACCATCTTGGATTTATTTTATTGTGTTCAACCAAAAATAAAACACAAACTTTTTTCATGCTTATAATATCTCTTTTTTGTTCTAATCCTGCTTTGATAGACGAGGGAGGAATGGCAGGGAGTGTTTCTTATCGCCTCGCTTGTTCATTACGCAGGTGTTATATTCTACGGTGAGTTAAGTTCCCTCTACTTTTCCAATGTACTTTTACTCTTCCCTGACCAGAGCATTTGAGTGTTCAAGTTTGCAACCAACCATGCATTCTGTTTGACACAAGTATGAACACTTTATTTATTATGCATTGCTCCTCTCTCTGGGCTGCAGGACTCTTTGCATCTGGAGAGAAGCAATATTGGGCGGAGCCTGAAGAGCAGAGTGATGATAAATGTGGCATCCTGGATGAGGACGAGCTAGCAAACGAAACAGAGGAGCTGTATCGCACAAGTGGGGGGGGGAGGCTACGGAGCCACCACCCAGGGAGCGGATCCCAACGGAGGAGGAGGAGGCTGGGTCTCAGACTGGGACAAAACTGAGGAATATGTCCAACCAGAAGGAACCAATAATTACCTTTACGAAGGAGGCGTGGACAAGAAGCTCACATAAAACCAGCAGACCTTCTGCACATAGCCTTTAGCGAGGCAGAAACAGAACATCAGCAGCGTGGAGTTTCACATGATGGCATGAAGAACTTTTGAAAGTGCGAATTTCAAATCGGGAGGGGACCATTTTCAGCAAGTCTGACTGTATTATCATAACTGAACTGAATTCAAAGAGTCTCCACAGGGGAGGTGAAGACATTAGGACATGTAAAATGTGTGTTTGTGTGTGCAATGTGTACCTTGTGTGGCAGACAATCTAAGTAAGAGTGTTTTAGGACTCATACCCCTCCCTGCAATATCTCTCTCGGAGGAGTGTTGAGTTTTAGGCCTTCTGTGGCTTTTGATGTTTAACACTGTAATAATTGTAGAAATGTCTATATTATCTGACAGGAGGTCATTTGTATGCCTCTTATTTATATTCACAAGTTGTTACGCGCACATTGGTCACAAGCGTACTTCTGTTGTTGGGTGAGAACCTACTGAGTTTCATTAATTGGTTTCTAAAAAAATGTCTGCATCCCAATAAAGTATGCCCCTCCACTGAAGATAGAAAGGGAAATATCCAAAACCAGATCTATAAGGTTTTCGCACAACATAATGAAAGCTTTTTTCCTCTTAAAACAATGTCCTTAATGTGTACACTTTTAAGAAAAAGCATGTTACTTGTGCCAATACAGTGAAAGATGTTGCTCTGTAGTATTGGTTTACTTCTCCACTGACAAAGTGATTGAACACCTGCAAATACTTCTGTACACAGCTCTCTGTGAAGTCTAAATAGCCCACACTGATATTTTTAGATGCAGCACTTTGGTTTCCTTGAGCAAAACTGTTTTATGTACTAGGCCTCGAACCTGTCTGCCTGCTGACAAACCGGGAGATAAAAAAGCTTCGAATAGGATCGGTATTTCACAAAGTTGTTCAAGACACTTTTATTGTGTTTCTTTAAGACAGTTTTCTTTAAAACATCAGGATTTTGTTCAATATGCTTTACTTGTATTAAATGCTTTATTGACATTTTTCAGTTACAATTTATGCTCTAAGTTTATTTAATTATTTAGCATATTACATCGGAAGCCTGGGTGTTGCCAGTTATGTAGCATGTCAAAATTAAAACGCTGGGCGAATAAAATAAGATTAATGGTACTGTAGAGCCGTTACGTAAATCTCCATTCATCTTGTTTAAAAGGAGGATTTTCATTACCCTTTACATTATGATATAGCGCAGCAACTACATACACTGTAAAATCAAAAAGGCTCATAATGGACAACAAAACAATGACATTTCACTGTTCATTAAAGAACATTCATTTTTCTTTTGTTAGTAGATGTTGTAATGTATCTATCTAGCCCCTAAAACAAGGTTCAATATTGTAAAATATCCATGTGTTAGATCATGAATGGTATCAATTTGGCTGATACTGTTTTTCCGATGAATTAAATATTAAATGTTTTTACTGTTTTTCATTTATTTCTCGTTAAATGTTCTGGATTATAAACTTAAACTGTATGTGTAAAAATCATGTACATGTGGAAAATATTGTATAATAAAACCTAGAGGTGATCCTTCCTGTACAATAATTACAGTTATTACTATTAGTTTTATTCTAATGCAATTATTCCATTTTAATGTTTTTTTTGTTTGCTATTAGGAGGTTCATAAACTATGTTGTAAACAGTTACATTTTTAATTAGGTTTTTTAATTTTTAATTTCAGCATCTGTTTTCCCTCGACCGAGCGACTTTTCCTTTGCTTCATGCATGATTCAGGCACTGATCATGCAGGTCCTTAAACAGTGGAAACAGTGGTTTCATGTTTCCAATAATGCTGTACTCCTCTCCAGACGATCGATCGATCTCTGAGCTAAAGTATAAGGGCATGGAAATGTAGAAGACAAATAGATATTCATGGCACCAGAACAAGGGACTCAGCCCGTAAGAAGCACTGAAGCTCAGGGATTCATCCCCCTTCTCTGCTCCAATCTCTAAAATCAAGGGGATTATTTTACATCCATCTGCCAGTGGGAGAAATATTAGTTACTTGGATGTTACTCCAGATCTTCCCACAGGATTCACTGTAGAGTGCTGTAGGGATGTGTTGTTGTTTTTTACAGGCCAACCAGTTTGCATTCATCCAAGTGTTGTTTGGATTATTGCTAGAATTGACCTTAAAAAACCATAACGCATGCTTTCCCCAATAAAACGTATTCTGGTCCATGTTCCACTAAAATAAATGTATGCAAAAGCCTTTATACACTAAACAGATGTTATTAATGTAGTACAAACACAGGGGGAAGTTTTAAGAGATGTGTGAAGTAGTGATTTTGGTAGAACTTGTCTTTATGACGGAAGTAAGTTATTATTGCATTGCAGTCTGCTTACCGGTTGAAGAAAGACAACTGAAATGGAACTACACGGATTTGAGTGCTACAATATTTAATGGTTTTAAATTGTAGTCACATTATTGGATTCTTCTTATTCTTCGTCTTCTTCTGTTGTTTTAATGGCGGTCGTTTTTTCACACTCTCCTATCGAACGTTAGCTGTTGGACGTAAAACGTTAGGGTTTTTCGCAGTCTTTGATAATTGGCTTATTTAAGAGTTTGAATTCTTGGTAACTTTTCTGCGTCCAATACGACCATACATGAATATCTTCACTTTGTTGCAGCAAAACACGTCGACCCATGCATCCATCATGTAAACTGCTATGTTTACTGTCAAGCTAACTTGGTAGACAACCAATGGCAAGTAGGCTACTGACGGTTTAAAGCCATGGCTAAAGTCCGGCTAGCAAACAATGTACAACACTCTACAAGTAACAACAGTCTCAGCCTGAAACACAATGACAGTGTACTTCCTGCATTCAAAGGTAAGTAGTGCTTAAAAATAGCTCACCACTACCCTTTCAAACAGATGATCTACTACCAGTGCATAGCATGTAGCAGGAAATGGGGTTGCTAATGCCATATATAAACTCAGAATCAGAATACCTTTATTAGTCCCACAGAGGTTATGAAATAATAAAAAATATAATAAAAAAAAAAAAACTTTTCAAAATACAAATCCTGTAACAGTTCTTAGGATTTAGCAGCCAGGTATATATTAATTACACTACCATGTAGCCTGAGCTTTCATCACCTGTTTTAGGCCAGAGAACATTTAATGTATTTAGCATTTTTGTTTTAGAGGAGAGAGGCTTCTTTGTAGGTTGGAGGTTTTCGATTGTATCCCCAAAAAGTTCAAATAAAGTAGTCTGCTCTTGTTTCTGAACTAACCACATTGGTTGTTGCCTTGAGCTGTCCTCCCTTTCTAAAGAGTGTCAAAGAAACATTTTGTCGACCTTTATTTTCTCCTCTGTATCACAAAAATTGAAAGAGTACGCCTGGATTGAATGTGATGATGGAGTAATTGTACGACCACAAGTTTATTTCAGCACATAAAATACAACAGGAAGGACACTGAAGCTCAAGATGCGCAGTGCAACTGATGACACACACAATTAAATTAAAATGGATTTTACATGTGAATGCTAAAGCAGAACTTATACAATAATGCACTTTTTAGTAAAACACAAAAAATATTGTTTATGCAAATTCATTTGTTACTCAAAAAGAGGCAATTCAAGACAACATTCTCACTTATTGTGCAAAGGAAACTATGTGGCTTTGCAAAGAAATATAAGCATACTGCATAGCTGAAATAGTTTGATAAAGCAATCCTTCTTATATTCACAATATAATCAACCTTATTTTCTCCCTGTCAATTATATAGGTAATCTCAAAACCTTATTTCAAAGCATTTCTATAACTTTAATATCTAAATTATTTTATACAAATCACAAGCTTTTTTTTTTTTACAGTGTGCCAATATTCTTCTTTCAGAATCCATGAGCCAAAGCCACCTTCATCTATTTACATTCCCCATACAGCACTGTAATTTTGGTTTAGTAAAATCATTTTAACATCATGACCAAGACATTACCTGACTTTGAAAAGGATGATTGAAGCTACAGAGACCTATCTGTTCACTGTCTAGTCTTTTGTTTCTCTGCCTTGTCCTCCTTCTCCCTCACTATCTCATATTCTCAGTCTTTGTCCTTCTTCCTAACTCACCTCCACCTGTGCCCTCCATTCCCAGCGTTTGGTACTCCCCCCCTTTCATTCCCTCTTTCTTCAGTGCCTCATACCCTCCCTCTCCTCCAGCTGCCCCCTCCATTCCCAGCGTTTGGTACTCCCCCCCTTTCATTCCCTCTTTCTTCAGTGCCTCATATCCTCCTTCTGCTCCAACTTCCCCCTTTATTTTAACAGTGTGGTACTCCCCCCCTGTCATTCCCTCTTTCTTCAGTGCTTCATACCCTCCCTCTGCTCCTACTGCACCCTCAATTTTCACAGTGTGGTACACCCCCCCTTTCATTTCATCCTTATTCAGTGCCTCATATTCCTCCGTTCTCCTCTGTCCACCTGTTGCTTCTGTCTGGAGGAGGTCGTACTCGCCCTCCCTTTGGGCACCCTTCTGCAGCATCTCGTATTTCTCATCTGCTGACCTCAGTGGCAAATCCTCGTAAATTGCTCCTTAAAAAAAAGAAAAAAAAGTGCCTTATGTGGTGCCTTAAGGGTGCATACAAAAAGTGAAAAAGAAGTAGTAGTCACTCACCTGTTCTCTTCCTAAAATATCTAAACAAGACCACAGCTACTAAAATACATCCCAGTCCGGCCGCCACACAGAGTAAAATGATCATGATTGGAGGTTGATCTGAAACGGAGACAGAACGTACAGAAATTGAAATCCCTCTGACTGACCCTTGGATGTGTTATATTAGTTGAATTCATCATTAGCAGAATTTGTAGTGGTTTTATATGTTAATATTCAAAGCAACACGTTACAACTCACACAGCTTTGATAGGCCAAATAATCTGTGTGCAAACTTAATTTGTATGGAATAAAAAACATATTTAAAGGGGTCGGCCAGTGACCCCAGTGACTTTGTATTGCACTGCCATAAAATAGGTTGGCTCACAATATTGGAATCAACAAATGGTCAAAACTGTCATGCTGACTTTGAATACCTATGATGGATCCACAAACACTGGATCCTGTAATACCCATAATGAAACTCTATTCCTTCATTTGTTAAAGCCTCTCTGTGTTGTAAATGCCATCAAACTCCACACCCCCTTTGTGTTAGTAGATGTGACTCTTACAATGTGTCCAACTTTGTTTATGAATTTAAACAACATGAAATTAGGCAGATTCAGAACATTTTCAAGGATTACTTTTACATGATATATTCCATAAAATAAATTAGTAACCTGTAGTACTCAGTGTTTACAATTCCAAAGTGTTTTACATCAATTCCAGGCTGGCTGTTGTTTAAAGTGTTTAAAATGAACAGTCATGGTGGCGGGCAACGAAAAAAGCGTATTTTCAGAACTAATCGTTTTTGGATATCAATTGGCAAGAACAAAAACAGTAACTCACAGATGTAGACGTTGCTGAGAGAAGACCTCCCGATGTTCCACACAGCTCTACATGCATAGGTACCGCTTGATTTCGGTGGGCTGGAACCAATAGCTGCCCATTGCTGATCGTCAAGTTTATACCAATGGTAGGAGTGTAAATCGGGGCAATGTGGACAAGAACATAACATGCCAGAAGAGAGAAAAGCCCTCATTAAAGGAGGCACTGAAAAAAATGAGAAGATAGACTTAAAAAGCGGTCTACTAGAGGAAACAATTGCATGTGGGGAAACCAAATTCAGTACAGCAGCCATCAGAAGCAGTCAAAGGGTGTTGGTTGGGTGAACGTACCTTGGACAAACACATCTTGATCATCAGAGGTCTCTTGGTATGGGCCGCCGGCAGGTTCTCTTATGTACGTGAAGGTGGCCCGACACCTATATCTTCCCATTGCAGATTCTGTCACGTTAGAGATTGTGTGGGTAGTACTGGCGCTACTCGAAAGGATGTCACTGCCTTTGTAGAAATTGGTGTGGCGGATTTTATTTGTACCCCAGGCCAGGCACTTCAGGGTCAGAGTCTCCCCAACTACAGCAGGCAGAGGATACATCTCCAGCGAGATATCCTTATCTGAAAGATGATGAAACATTGATTTTTGGCATACAAAAATGCTAAAAATACAATTTCTGAGGCTATTTCAATAATGCTAATAAAGGTGAAAGGGTTTGCTCATGGTGAAGAACAAATAGAAAATGCTTTGTGAAACATTACAAAAAAAAGCCTACCTGAGGTCCTGAGTGTGATTTGGTTACTTCTGCGTTGAGTATCATTACTACACCAGTAAATGGTCTCTGGGACCATCAGTCTATTAACCTGAAAGTCCACACTCACACTGTCGCTGTTTTTAATCTTCAACTTAATCTTGTTTGACTTCTCTCCCCTATAGACCCAGCACATCCACCCCTGAAGACCATCCTCATTGTAAAGCTGCAGACGAACCGAATCTCCGCGCCGCACCACTGGATGGCCTGTCTTGATGGTGAGTGATGCAATGGGAACGTAATCTGAATGGTAAATCAATTAAAAATACTATTAGTGATAGGGCTTTCAAACTCCCCTTACATTTATGGGAGTTTGAACCGTAATACATGTTCTTGTGGTATATTTACCCATGACTTTGATGGGCAAAGCGTCACTCTTTTGCCCATTGCTCTCACATTGATAAGAGCCTGAGTGTTTGGGGGCAGCCACTCCTATCTTCCAGGTGTCGCTTGTCAGTAAAGGTTGATCTTTGCCGTCGAAGTACCAACTCACCTTGCTTTTACCTGAACATTTCAGATAAAACAAGTCCCCCGGGAAGATCTCCTTGAGTTTGGGGGAGATAATAACTAAGGAAGTAGGAGATAAAGGAAAATAAATACAGTCAGGTATTTATAGGCACAGTTTATGTAATCTAAAGAAATCACAAAGGGCATGACATTATCAACTGCTAAAAAAGATAGACGGAAGATGAAAGGATTTTTTTCAATATGTAAACACTGATTACCATTTGGCTTTTGCTGACATCTTCCCAGGAGCACAAATGCTGTAAAAAATCCAAAATATGTTATTCCTTCATAAAAGCTAAGTCTCTCATGGCTAATATTGCACCACTTATATTGTCTCTTCCATTTAGAGCAGGGCATTTCAGACACTGATTCAAAATTAAAATAGTACATTTTGCCAAAATACTGATACAATTGTTTTTATTCAAGCTTAAGTAAGTATCTATTCGTTTTTTCCTAAATTGACGGCAGTGTTACTTTAAATAATTTTTCAGAAACTTCGAAAAAATCTAAAAGTTTATGCAGTGCAAGCGGAAAAATGAGTACTAACCGGAAAGGAAGAATTGTATCGATCATTTAATTAAAATCAATCCAGACAATTATTCACGACAGTAAAATATTTGTTCTACATTTACAAACATTTCAAAAACTTGTTTGAGTTCAATGTTTGGATACAGAAAATATAAATTGAATTTTTAAGGTGTTTGCCCAGTTATACACATTATAGTGTAATAATTGAAGACATGCAAACGTGTCCTTATACATATTTATGCTTTAGTTCAACGTAATTCAGTAAAATTACATCTTCCATTAAATAATACTTGTTACACAGCTTCCTGAACACATTCAGAGAAGCTGTTAATGTAAAATAATTTTGATTTATTTGCAAAATCAGATCCACATCAAAATCTAAATGTATTAATTTTCAGAATTTGTTTCAATCTTTATTTGTTCTGTCTAGAGATGATGAAAATGAGCTCTGCCAACGTCCTGCTCCTCTCTCACATAAGTTCTCCGCTGATAGATCAGTGTTAGAGTACCTACCGCTGCGGATTCAGTTCCTTGCAAAAAGGCACCAAAGGTATTTTATATAGGCAAAACCTTGGTGTATTTGTGTAATGTCAAATGCAACACATTAAAGACAATTCAGCTAAAAATAATAACATTTGACTTTGTATCAGCTATGTTGGAAATTACACTTATTGCTCTCATCACCAAGATTGACAACTCCACCCTTAGATTCATTGTTAAATCTTCATACAAAAAGTGTAAAATGTGATATTTTGCACAATATAAATACATACAAGTCCTTATAAAACTAATATAATTCAATTTCAGCAAACAAAAACCTTACAATCCTGAAACTACTTTGAACTGTATCAACCTTTTTGTTAGATTCCTCTTACCTGCCAGGAGCAGCAGATGTGTAATTCCCCTCATGGGAACGGTCAGAGCAACACCTTCAAGAGAAACAACATAATGACTAAAACCCAGAGGTGACCAGACACTAAGTGGGTATGAGTCTCAATGAGGAAGTTGCTTTTGGGGCTGAGCTTAGCAGAGGTAAAAGAGGAAAAACTGTAACAGATATTCTGCATTCTCATGGTTTAGGAATACTGCAACAACAGCATTTTTTAATTGTGTCATTTCACAGTAATTCAAATTGTGAAAAAGGAAGGAAGAGAGGAACTTCAAAACCCCAGAAAACACTGTATGCAATACTAAAAAAAAAACTCAGTTCATTACTGAGAAATGCATTAGACAAAATAAGAAGAAACTGTACAGAGGGCATTTCATACTTTCTTTCTTGCACTTATGAATGCAAATATATACAAATGCTTTACCTGCATAGCCTCATCTGCTCTATAGGAGAGATCAGACAGCATAAGGGTGAACAGAATATCAGAGAGGATTCACTTAAAATGACAAATGTGGATTAAACAGACATTAAAGACAGTTAATGGTATATCTGAATCCTAGCTAAGCTAACAAGGCAAACAACAGTCTCAAATGAGACTAAAAGCAAGCCCACTTTTGGGGAAACAATAGTTAAACTCACTTGGTAAACAAGGCTGGTATGGAGGCTGTGGAGGTTGCATGAAAGGCACAGGCAGAATAAGTCAGAAGCAAGAGGAGCCGTTACGAGCTGCATCACAATTTAGGGCCTAAATCCTTTGAATAATAACAATATATTATAATAATTTGAAAGATGAAGTCCTTTTGTGTTAAAGGAGAGCCTTGTCATCCTTCCAAGGAGCTAGATCAAAGTAGTGGTGCATTCAGGTGCTAAGAATCAGAATCAAAACACTTGGTTAATCCCAGGGGGAAATTAAGTTTGGTGACAGGATAAGTTGTTGTAGGATAAAATAAATAAATATTTATATAAAGTTAAGAAGTTAAAGAAGTAAAAGCCCTTTCCACTGGGCCACAGTGTCTTTGGCACAGCGTCTAAGCAAACTAGAATCATCGTAAATATATGCGCAAAACTTGATCAGCAACACCTTGTGAATGACAACTTTTAAATGTACATCTTGCAGTTCATATATTTGTCCAGTCCCTTGTGTGGTTCATTTCCAACTAAATGCAAATCACATAACACATATCTGTATGAGCTGCTTAGGACCCTCTTCTTGCACCTTGTAAACAGATGACTCACATGCAGGACCTTCTATGGGTTACTGAGGGCTGCAAACAATACGTTTTCTGCAGATTTGGGAACATTTGGAGAAGTCTTCGGTGGCCTTAGCTCTTGCCAGTAATATTGCAGTGAAGAAATGACCCTCTGTTTATTTTGTTATTTCTTATTTAAAAACATTTCTGAGAAACTACCGCAGCTGTTTATCAGATGAAATGGCTGAGTCACTACAAAGATCGAAACCAAATGAGATGAGTTGAACTGTTAGTGGTCGCTGACCTCATAGTGTCAAAGCAAGATGTGAATCTAACAGACACTGAGGCTCCATGGCTAAAAGAGGGAAACAAATATGTAGTTTGTTAATAAAAAATAGGTGACAACTATCAGTCGTGTTAATCAATGCCCAGATAAAGCTGTAAACCTGTTACTGAAATGGCAACATTAAAAAATCTTTACAGGACATAGCACTTTGTCTTTGCAGGTCATTTCAGGACACTGTGGGTTTTAGGTGTTACATTAGATAGGGCGCATTTCACAGCTTAGTTAGACACGTCTTCTTTCACACATTCTAGAAGAATACTGTGTATATCTCACGCACTCCTGTCATGCACCTCAAGTGGAAGAAATACTCCTATTATTTAATTGAGTTAAAGTACCAATACTGCAGTATTAAATACCTTTAAAAAAGTATTGCGTTGAAGATCGTACTCAAGTAAAATAAAAAAGTAATAGCATTAAAATATACTTCAAGTTCCAAAAGTAAAAGTATTGTTATGCAGAATGGCCCCGTTAAGCACCATATATTTGTATTATTGTACTGTAGTTATTGATGAATTATGTGAGTGTGTTCATCACTTAAATTCTGCACTTGGTAAAAGTGGCGTTTATTTGAATTACTATGAAGATTTTGCCGAGTAGCTTTACTTATAACTACATAAAATAATGTATGAGTTTAATTATATTTTATATTTCTAATCTAATTCTGTGAAATAGCTTGTAACTAAATACGTGTAGTGGAGTAAAAGTATAAAGTAGCATAATGTGAAAATACATAAGTAAAGTACCTCACATTTTTACAGTACTTGAGCAATTGTACTTAGTAATTTTTACCACTTCTTACATGTTCCCAAAAACATAAAAATGTTTGAATTGCATTTTAGAATCCAGACATGGTTTCGTTTTGTGCAATAGGGAAATGTTTTCAGCAACACCAATGATTAAACATAGTTCAAGAGGAAGAAAAGCTTTGTCCTTTATCTAAAGTAAAATGTTTCTTTCGTTTTAAATTCCCTTTATCACACATTATGTTTCCCTGATTCTCAGACTTCTCTAAAGAGGAAGATAAAAGCATGCTTACCCACAGTGAGTTTTGAAAATGCACATTTAAGCAACATCATTCTAAGAACTATATTTAAAATGGTAAATGTGGGGGAAACTTCTGAAGCAATTGGAGTCAGGACTCAAAGAGAGACACGATGGAGAGCTGGAGCTTTGATGGCAAACACTGACGGTTTATTTGGAGCTTCGGCCAGAGAATTCACAAGACAAGTCACGGGCCACGGTTTGACCACACGGTTGAGATGCCACAATCCTAGGCCGTAGACCAGGGGCGGACTGGGACTAAAAATCAGCCCGGGACTCTCGACCGGCCCACTTCGGTACCGCCGGCCCACCTCGGTACTGCAAGTAAATACCGCTAGTAAATTGTCAACGGGGGTGTGTGCACCTATGCCATGGGAAAGGAGACAGTGAAAAGAGAAAATTATGAACTGTGTCAAAGGTTGAATACCTAGGCAAATTATTCCCCAACAGTAGATAGAAAACAATGACACATTTCTGAAGGGTAAAAAGAAATTCTTGGAACTACTATTTACATCGAGAAAAAGAAGTGGAGGCCTCTGTTTCAGTTACTTCCAATGGCCACCAGAGTCCAGCACTGCATCGGTTTTCCTTGAGAGAATAATTCATGAATGAGGCTTTAGAGAATATGTAAGCCTGTGACTGTGGCCAGTGAGCCGCTGTTTCACTGTACTGTAAAACATATGATATATATACAACGTTAAACTTCAATTGGTATTGTATTTATGGTTTTATATTTGCAAGAACTCTTAGTCCCTGAATGCAGCAGTCACAAATAGTGACGCCAATGTGACTGATCTGATTGAATTATATAAAAAAGGCTTAATTAAAATACATTTTGTTGATGTTATTCACTCTAAAAATGCTAAGACATCATTTTCTGGGTCAAGCCACTGATTTAATGCAAGACCATCTCTGTGCTTCACAGCTTCGATTTCATTAATCAATACATTTATCTCATCCTGCCCTCCTATCCCGTCTCTTTTGTTTCTTAAATCTCCTACTCTAATTAGTAAGTGCACTCACAAAAAACAAACAGAATATTAACCCCAGCTAGCATATTTATTACCACTGTATAGTCCATCTGCCCGTGACCCACTTTTCTCTCCTTGCCTTAGGCGTTAGAGGCGTTCACACAGAAAGCAGGAGAAAAGCTACTTTCTCATCCTCAGAATAAGGACATTGGGGCAGCAAAATACAGCAGGAGCAGCAGGGTAGGATGAGAGGAGCTAAAACACGCCGTGGAGTAGTGCACCATTAAAGGAGAGCACCCACTAGAGCTCTTATCAAGAGTTACAATGCAGGTGTCATGTCGTCCTTAAGAGTGGGAGACGGCAGGATACTCACAGACTGTGTGTGCTTTAATGTTTTTCACCCAGCTCGCCCTCCGCAGTCTTCCATCCTTCCTCTTCGATGGGCTCTAAAAGCAGCCATAAAGCAGAGAGAAGGACTTTTATCACTTAAGCACTCAAGTTAGACTAAATGCAATCCGGTAAGAATGATTATATAAACATACTTGGAATCAATTGAGGTTATGCTGTGCACTGATAATGATACAACACAAACAACAGCATCACATTCACCAGGGCAGAATGACAATGATTACGGGAAAACATCTCAATCTTAATTTCATACCTCCTAACTTGTTTCCTTTTATGTTCACCGTGTAATACTGAGAAACATGCAATAAATATCATCTCTTAAAAAGGAACACAACTGTATGATAAGTGTATTTGTAAATCCATGTTCTATCGCATCAATTGAACAGGGACAATATTACTTTTTAAACTGGGTTTAAAACCATCTCCCACCACACCTTTTAGACTGCCTCAATCTAACAAGTTCTTCAACCTGTGGAAACTGACAATCCAACATTAAACCGACTTTATGCAGTGATTGGGAAGGTGTGTAAAGGTGATGTTATGTAGGTTTGAAACATCTCTCTTATGCCATCTGCTAAACTCTAACATCACTTTAGATTGTTAAACCGAGTACACACTACATGATATGTAATTTCCATTATCCCAATCTGAACAGTTTTCACATATTGCCCTTTGAGTAGTTGCAGATTGGGGTTGTTGTGAACATCAATACACACTTTTGCCTTCAGGCATCTAGGACGACAAGTCATTAGAAAGTATTAGTTTCAAGTATACCCAAACCTTTAGATACACCAAACTTAAGGTCAGTGGTCTAAAGATTTGAGAAACAATAAGTAATGATAGAGATGTATCTGTATGAACCATAGGATCACACAGAGGTCTGATCCTTGCAAAAAGCTGAATATGTTTACAGACATAAGAGACATGTTTTTGCTATGTTAGTTTTTATATTGTAGACTTCATTGATATATTATACTTTATTTTTACATTCACACCAAATGTTCCTTCTTGTTGAAATGTGCTTCTCATCAAATACATTTCATTGTTTGCCTTGCCTGTAGTTATGGTGTTGGCATCAGGTAAATCACTGTAATACTGGTAACTGTAACATTGCTATATTTTAAAGTAGGGCATTTTGGTTGTAACCAACACACCAGGT